AACGACCCGAACGCCCTTTTGATGCATTGCGGCAGGTGAGGCACTCAAAGTAATCCGTTTGATATTCAGAGAGCGTTTCCTGGGGCGAGAGAGTTGAAAAAGTCGGCAGCTATTTTCCTTTCGTAATATACCCCTAGGTCATTAGTGGTTGCCGGAGATAATTTGAGGTGAAAAGTTTTCACCGGAGTGCGGCATTATTCAATAACAGTTCGTTTCGTATGCAGGTGAACGGTTGTTAAGCGGAGTTTTTATTAATTCGTATAATTCCAATTAAAAAGAAATTATAACATTTAATGGATAAATTGTTATCAAACAACGTAACTACATGCTTGTATTTTTGAACTTTTTTCCATATATATAGGCACTTATATTCAATAATAATTAAATCCAAGCAAGAGGGTGAAACATAAACTTAATCTTGCCAACAAACAATAATTAATATCTGAATTATGAGTATAAACACTAATTAAACTTGTTTCGCGTAATGACCTTTAAAAACCCACAATAAAAGTTTGTTTATGGAGGGCCCTTGGAAGTAAGTTAAGGAGCGTCGTACACTGAAATTCACAACTTTGTTGCCGTAAATTACTTAGCTCGGTGAACTGGTTCTTATTTCCCCGACGAGCTATTAACCGAACTCATTTTTGGACGCTGATTGTCGAAAGAAATGCTGTAATAAAAAATTAATGGACTTATTCGAAAGCGATTGCTTCGGGAGTTTCCATCGAAATTTCGTTACCCATTCAGTGGAGTGAGAGTTGTGTAAGGTTTTCATTAATGGCAATAATTCCAAAACCACAATTTCCAATAGACCAACGTAAATAACATTAAAAAGGGTGTTGTAGGTTTCAAATCATTTGAAAATAAAAAGTTTAATGTTACCTTCAAGGATTCGCCGAGAGCTCTACATTAAACTTACAAATTACATTTATTAAAGAACTTTCTTCGAAGTCGAATATTGTTCTTAGCAAATTATCCGCTGACATTGTAATGAACTGGAAAAACCGAGAAATGATGAAGCGCTTAGAACTTTTATGGTCCATTAACAATAAGTTTTTTAATTTATACGGGAAATTAAGAATAACTAACTGCATTAAGAAGTTTCGGATTACTTCTCAGGTGTTATTGCAGCTGTTTCAATTTCTTTTGAAAGAGTACTTAGTTAACTTTTCTTTTTGATTGAAAAAAATTCCATCCCAAAGTTATTACTGTATACATTTATGTAGGTAGATATACAAAAAAATATTCCTATTTCAAATTAGTTCGAGTTTTAATCACCCTTGTAGTTGTTAATAACATAAAAATATTATATTTCAATTTAAAACAAATCTAAAAAAAACGACTCCTACTTTTCCATTTTTATGGACGGGCTTATTTTATTTTGGCAACAGCTTTTAAAGGTAACTACATAGCATAACCCATTTAGAGTACTTAAGAATGTTTTATATTATAGCTAAAACATTTATTGGCAAACTAAAAGCACTTATACGCATTTTCAGATTCCATTAACATGTCATTTTCTTTGATCCTTAATCTCCTAAAATCTATTTTGCATTTGCAATCGATTTTATCAAAATAACTCTTTATTATGCAAAGTGATGTTGACGCAAAAATGGGAAGACAAATAACGATGGTTTCTTTGATTTTTGCGTTTTTATGGAGATCATTAAAACAACAAATTCCTTAACCGAGTTTTATTACAAAGAGTAATCAACGCTGTTATTGTTTAATATTTTCGTTAAGGATGGGCAAAATTTTTACTGTTATATTTTTGATGAAACAATTCCGGCAAGGGGGTCGACACATTTTGAGCATCTGTCGCTTGCTTTAATATAGAACTCTTTCGCTATTCGCTATCAATGTTTACCTTTTTCTGAACCTAATATTTGTGCTTTTATTTTTTCCTCGCTTACATTTGATAAACAAAAAAACGAATTACCGAAAATCCCTATTAAAAAAAACCTTTTCAAAGTTCATTTGTGCGTACCTATGCATGTTCCAAACACTTTAATTATTTCGATTGCGAGGCAGGATTTTTATGAGCGAATTTAAAGAGCTTAACTCCCACACTCAATCTACTTAATATATAATTCACATTTCTAAAACTTCCAGCCACGTTAAATTTTGTGTAAATTTAATTCATTTTCCAATAAAGAACATTAATCTTCTATCTCGCACGGAAAATATAATGCTCGTTTTATTTCATTAATATTTTCACTAAAACAAACTGTCTTGCACGGCATAATCCATTTTGAGCAATTTTATTAATGGTTGAACTTTAGAAGCTCGCAGTTAATTAAAATTAATTCAATTTTATGTGTTGGTTTGTAGTTTGTTGCCATCCAACGTTTTATTTGTTTTAGTTTTCCATTATTTGTATGTAGGAATTAAATTCGTCTACATTTCTAATTATTAAATCAATCAATAAATGTCATAAAATGTATAAAGTTGCAAGGAATTTTATTTTATTTTATGGAGAAGATGTAATAAAATTTATTACTCCCTCACGAACGTGCTTTCCAATGATTTGACCGTTAATATTCAAACTTGTGACCGGCAATCAGACGATATAACTCCAACTATAACCGTTTTGGGTGGCGCAAGACGGGGATTTTTGCATTTTCGAATACAAATATCGAATCTGGAATGCACCTACGTCGAAATCTAAATTCGATTAAGGAACCGATAAGCAACATCTGCTACTCAAGACCAAATCGGAAATTTACATGTATCCAATAATGTTGGATCACATGTCACTACCACTCTTTCTGTAGCTCGGGTTTTGGTATACAGCTGACGTGTCGGCGGGGTGAATTTTTTATCCCATTCGGTTAATGCCCGATTTTGTAATAATAAAAACCGGTTATCTCCAGTGTAGTGGTGTATTCCGGTAAAAGGAGAAATTGGAAAAGCGGATACTACGCTCAGAAATCTCCAGAGTTGGAATAGTTTTCGGCAAAAACAGCCAATTCATCAGCGACTCTCCCCGAAGGTTTCGCACTTATAATTGATGGATTCGTCTTTTGGACTTCTCGTCCGCCAACAAATAACGAAATATTTACCGGATTAATCTGGGAGAAAGGATAAGTTGCGAGTTTTCCCAGTCATTTCTCATTTAGAACTCCGAAAATACCCGTTAATTATAACGGAACTTGTAAGTAAGCGCAATTTTCCGAACGTTAATAACAATTAATTAATCAGTAATAGAAAGTTTTCGATCATATTTTTCCTGAAATCGTCCTAAAAGTAAACAAATCCTGCATTATACATTTTTTGAGTCTTATATATAGGCAACACAGTTTACAATCTTTAGGCAATGGAAAGTTCAACATTTAAATTATTCGATGATTTATTTGATTTGATAATTTAAAACTTTATGTTTTAGTAGGTACCCAAATATTTTATTAATATTAAATACGGATTATAAATTCTATAAGACATTACTGCCATTTATTTAACTCCAAAAAATTCTAATATGTTCCCAACATTCTGTATAACCCATTTTCAATACGTCCATACTTTATTTAACTTTAGGGTCAGAATTGGGTCGAATTTTGCATGATTTTATTAAAGGAAACTTTAGAAAATGCGACTGCCTTATTAATGAGGGCAGGCGGTGTGTCCTCCTTTTCAGTAATTCCGAAAAGGAAGCGACTTAATTACAGATATTAGAGACCTTCCTCCTTGTTTTCGCGAAAACCCAAACAAATTTCGTTAAAAACTCGACCGAAGGGAAGGGCCCAAGCTGGCGCGAATTCGTTAACGCTTCGGTTTCCACGCGTCGCTTATACGCAAGTATATTAGAATAATGTTAATTGGCGTGGAGAAAATGGACGATTACTTCAGTGTCTCGCGAATGTGTAGCATTTTAATCGCAATATTAGTTTATCTTTAATTTTGAAATATCAAGAGGAAATAACTATTTTTAGAAAACGAATATTGCACAGAAGCCGCAAATAATCCTGATGGAGAGAAACAGAAAGCAGAGCCGAATAAATATTTTCTAACCGGAATGAAGGTAAACACGATTAAAAGGGAACATATACGTGGTTAATATGATGAATTTCGTAGGAAATAACGTGGACTTGACGATGTTTACCTAGGTGTGTTTGCGCAGTAAAATGAGAAAGTATCCAAAACGAGTTTCAAATTTAACAATGAAGTTAATTACAAATCGAGCGAATTCAATTACATTGAAAAGTTATATGTTATGAAAACAATAGGCTTATTTCACCATTTTTCCAGCCGCTTACCTACTATTTTATATTATGGAAATTAGTTAGTTTAACTTCAACTCAAAATTAGACATTCACTCTGCCTTCGCTAAAAATTTTCTTCCCTCATGCATATTCATGCGTTCCGTTTAAGCGGTGATAAATGAGAGTTTACTTCTAATTACATACTATTATCTATATTGTAACAGATGAGTTAAGCACCTGGCGTTTTAATGAAATGTACATAGAAAGTTTCCTCATTTTCAGCAACTCGGTTTATTGTAACGCAATCGGATTTAAAGCATAGTAAATTGCGTAATGAGAAGCTAATGTGTGAGAATTATAGCAATGCATATTAAACGGGGAACAGATGCCATTCTCAATAATATGTGGAAAAGGGGATTATTCTTTCGGACATATTATAAGCCTATGTAATTTTGCAACAAAGCTTGTGAGTATAAGCTTTGTAATAAAGTTTATATTCCATTAAATAATTCTGGTCCTTTGAAGATTTTAATAGAATCCTTGCACCTACCTTGATACGTAATAGGTGTTTACATTAACTATTTACAACTTTGATGTTTGCCTATTGTGCTCACAACATACATAGGTATATGATTGAAGTTGCGGTTATTCGCACTAGAAGATTCTAATTGTTGTTGGTTCAGCGCTTTGAACTTTGGTTTGCACATTTAATGCAACTAATAAGTTTAACTTTAGGAAACCAATTTATTTGTTGTTTAGTTTAATCAAATGAAAGTTTCTGCAAATATGAATTTATGTAGTGTAAATATCTCTATCAGCATATTATGCGTGTATGCATTGATTGACCTAATGCATATAAACACGCATGGACGCAAGTACAAGGTCAGAGCCTATACTTTAATTATAGTACGTATTTTATCATAACAGCGCATTATCTTCTGGAAAATAATAGCTAAATGCGGTTGGCAAGTGTCGGAGAAAGACGGAAGTATTTTCAGCTGATACGCATGGCAAATGGCAGGAAAACTACTGCACCTCATAGAATCGATGTCGAGTTGTTGTCGGCGAAATTTCATTTGGTACATACTCGTAACGATTTAAATAATATAATTGTCAATTACGAATAGATGGAACGTAATATTTGAAAGTGGCACAAGAGGAATTAAGCGAATTTAAAAGGCAGTTCAACAACCTCCGACAATATAATTAAACGGTGGAAAGATTAGCTTGAACCAGTTACTTCGTTTATAAAAAGGTACCTATTTATACTATTTATCATAACACAATTCAATCGTACATTTTTCTATGTCTATAGATTACTATACCAGTACAAAGAAAAACATCACTTTCGTTAATTGTTGTATTTGTTTAAATAATATTGTATCGTGGTATACACTAAGTTATGAATTTTATTTTATTTAGTTTCTTCAACTCGACTCAAAAAATTCATTATTTTGTTTCCGTTTAAAGATCAAATGATTAGATGTATGTATAGTAATTTGCAAAGTCATAACCGACATATTTTATAAATATAATATTATTAACAAACATTCAAAGTATTTTTTTTTCTAAAACTTGATATTATTATAGGTAAAAATAAATCTTTTTAGGTGCACTCTACACCATCCTCAAAACATCCAATCAAGCAACAAACTACAGAAACTTCGAAATACCTGTCACCGCTGTTTTAACGTCACATTCTCCAATGAAATAATAACCAAAATAATCGATAGCATGAGTATAGATAGCTCGAATCCGAGCTGTTCAGGCGTGCCCACCTCCGTGGTGCTGCAGACACTGCCCCAAATCGACGAAGAGGATCCCAAGAGCAACAAACCGCCAAAGGAGCGACTGCTGGAGTTTCTGGACATACTCGAAGGGCACGTAGAGCAATTAAGAAAAAATGCCAGCCAGCTGGAGGAGGACAAAGACGCCCTGCTGGTGGCGCTGGACTCGGTCATCAACGCCGATATCCTCTACAACCTGCAGGACTGCGATAGAGATGAAGTCAACAGGTACACCGAGAGGATCATCAACAGATGTCTAACGGTCGAGGTGAAGGTGCTCACGCAGCGGGACAAGATGCAGGAGGACGCTCTCTATCAGGTCAACCATTTCATCGACGGGCTGGTGATGGTCATGAAGACGGATCCGGAGTCGGCTCAAGCGAGGTGTATCAGTTTCATGAATGCTTGCTCATCGAGCTTGGTGCACGGGGTTACAGACAAGAATTTCGAATCTGCGCTCCTTGGGTGCTCCCTGGACGATCAGAAGAAAGTTAAGAGAAGACTGCAGGGATTGTTGAATTATTTCGAGAAAATGAATGTTGTTCCTTATCATAACTAAATAATTACAGTTAATATTAAATAATACGAAGTTTAAATTCCTTTTTTTGTATACATTCCTTTTTTGAAACTTTTTGAATTTTGTGTGTTATGTTTATCTTAAAATTGTTGGATAAGGCGAATGCTTGTTTATATTTATATTTATGAAAGTTCTACAATTAAAGATTTTTTTATAGCGAGTTGTTAATAAATTAGTGCAAATTTAATAAAACATGTTAAACTACTTATTCTCATTTCACGTTGAAACCTATACCTACGATTCAATTGACTTTGGAATGGGTTCTTATTTCTGTTATACTGGATTATTCGACTCGTGCATTCATTCGTTCTACAGGTATTCCAATTTTAAAATTAGCAAAATTAGCAAAATTCACAAACAACAGAGGAATTACAACAAAGCATACGTGTCTGCCATATTTGGAATAATGTAGAGATATCGGGTGAAATTTATAGCAAAATATTCCAATAAAAATAAATTTCTTCCTAAGCTCTCAAAACGGAAATTAGTTTTAACATCACCTGTGGTACTCGTTGAGGGTTACAGAGCAACCCACATTCCTTCCGGTCTACGGGATATTTAGTGATGCAGGGGGAATGGGATGGTCGAATCAGGCAGGATGGGACTGTGTAAAAATTCATACACAGTTTAGAAAAGCATATTAGGTAAATTATAAATTGGTCATGACTTTTGTACTGTTTGTTGCAGAATTAAGAAGACCAAATGGTGTACAGATTATTGTAAATTTCGAGGAAACGTGTACAAGTGCTTTAATATTACTAAGGCCTGCACTGATAACGAGTCTTACAGGTAATTTAACAATGATTTACTAGAGCCTACATACGCGGTTATACTGGATAGGTATATATTTTATATGTAGAGGAAAATAAGCACCGCCAGTTGGGATAAATAAAACCAGATTTCCCAGTTAATCCTTATAAAGCACAGAATGTAAATAAAAATTCGTAAACTACCAAAATACGAATAAAAAAGTGTACGTACAAATGAAAAGAAAAATTTTATCTAGTATTACAAAACTCTCTGGTTATTAAGCTGCTTATTTTTTACAACTTTTTATGTAAATTTTACAAATTGTAATATACGACTTAATAGTTTCCATTGACAATTAATTTTGGTATTTTTTCAACATTAATAATAATGGAATGTCGAATGAGACATCAACAAAATGATTAGACCCGAGTAATTTGGAGGTAAACAATTTGTGAAATTATTATTAACATACGACTCACCTACCTATAATTATTACGTTCTATAACAATCCCATGCCCGACCCCTATCGATTTGCGATTTACTATCTGCTCGAACATAAACTATGGTAAACAATTAATAATTCCCACTCAAAAACTAATTATAAAATTGACGTAGCACCGAAATTTCGGAACAATTTGCAAACGTAATTGGTACTCTTAAAATTTATGTGCGCTACGAACATCAGCGATCAATTAAAATTGCTTAAAATGAAATGTTCGGTTACAATATTTCCGAACAAGTAGATACTATCAATAATTAATTGGTTTTGATTATGTGGCAAAATTTTAAGTATTTTAATGAATTGGTACCTACAATAATGTACAATCCCCGTAAATGTTTTATAAAACTGTTAAACGATTAGTTTCCTTGGAGTTTATGTTTCTCTCCCAAAAATCAAATGAATCAAAGGCACTAAAATCTAGTCCTACGAAGTTATATTTAACATTGGTAAATCTATCTTGTATGAACTGGATGAAAAATTACCAACATTAATATGAAAAATAAAAAATATATATAATTTATTAAACATTGATTAAAAAAATTACCGAGATAAAAGACTATAATCCACTTATATAGTAAAATTGAAAAGATAATCGCATCGTCATAAATATACTTCATTAGGGAGTTGTCTTCTATTGCACATACATCATGAGATTAAACGTTTTCATGTGTTTCATCATCGTTTACAGTAAAACTCCAGTGAATGCAGGTGAATAATATTTAATAAAAGCTTATTTACCTAAATTATTTATATGCACTTAATTACTTTATTTGGTAGACAATGCATTGCGAATTGTCGGTGGAAATGAAACGACAATTGAGAAGCATCCGTGGATAGTATCGATTAAAAGTCTTGGAGTCCATTTTTGCGGAGGATCCATTATCAATGAAAATACTATCGTCACAGCTGCGCATTGTTTTGCTGAGTGAGTAACTTTTGAGTCAAATATGATATCTATTCAATTGATGTAACTATTTTTTAAATATAATTATAGGATATCAGAGGGACTATCGATTCTGGCAGGCACTAAAAATATAGACGAAAAAGGCACAGCTATAAAAGTAGAGTACTTTATAATGCATGAAAAATATGATACTGAGACCTATACATACGATTACGACATTGCTATTTTGAAGGTAACTAAGCAATAAATTATTTTATAAATGCATAGAAAAAAATAGTTTTGCAGTTATCGAAAAATTTAACGTTCTCCAGTAAAATCCAGCCGATACTTTTACCCTCAGAAGATACTCAAGTATCAGTTGGAGAACCTGTAACAATAGCCGGTTGGGGGGTGACCAAGGTATGTTTGTGCTAGCCCTTTTCTACTAAGTACACTAACTTGGATATTTTTAGGAGGGTAGTCCTATTATATCCAATATATTACGTGACGTGGAAATATACTCCGTCGACTGGGAAACTTGTAAAAAGGAGCTGAACGATTATGGCACAGTTACCGAAAATATGTTCTGCGCAGGATATCCCACAGGCAATAGAGATTCATGCCAGGTATTTAGTTGCTCCATCTAAATTATCAATAATTATCCATCATTGTTCCAGTGCGATTCGGGTGGACCGTTGGAATTAAACGGTACTTTACTGGGCATCATATCATGGGGGAACGGATGTGGAGAGGTTGGTTTTCCTGGAGTATACACTCTCGTTCCCAAATTCAGATCATGGATTAAACAACATACAGGAGTCTAGCTCCTGTACTATTTTATTTAATTTCTTTTATCAAACATATTGTCAGCTATAGAGTTATTATTTCAATTAAAATGACAGCATGCAAAAAAATATTATAAAAATATAGAAAACGTTAAATAAATAGATCAATCGACTGTTAAAGCTAGAAATATTTACCAGCTGTTTAAATGACATCAACTATGATAATCTGTCGGGTTCATGTAAATGTGGATGTAATTGCCGATTGATCTGCCGGACCCTAATATCTCAAGTATTATGTAACTAAATGTGACTGAAGCGGCTTGGAATGAAATTGAATGGAGTTTGATATTCCATTGTAATTGTTGCAACAGAGACGATTGGAACTAAATGCCGCGCTAATAGGTAGCGTATCCAGGGACATGGTGGTAGAGAAGGTGATTATCCCCGAGTTTATACCCTTGTCGGACGTTTCAGATCATGGATAAAACAACAAGCTGGCGTCTAGTGCCCGTTTCAATGATTATCCATTGATAAATCGCCGTACGTGCTTTTAGTACCGTCTTATTTACTTTGGCTTTCTCCCTTCCTGTAAATCGCAGGGGTAATCGGATTTGCTGGAAATAACGATACTGAAAATAAAAGTTTGATTTTCACATTTACCTACTTATTATTCAATGGATTTTTCGCATTCTTTTCAATTCATATTTTTTGGTTTTTATATTTATTTAGAAAGGAATCAAAGATACACGTTAATTACACGTTTATTAGTTTATTTCATGAATTCAACTATGCTAAGTAGGTACATCGTTATGATGTACGATGATTTAACTAATAACATGATTTATGTGATTATTCGAAAGGAAACAAGGATACTTGTAAAGCAATTTAATTAAAATGTGCACTTTGGAACCTTCATTGTCAATATTGATACCCTTAATTACGTTGCTATTGGGTATGGAGAATATCCACCAGGTTATTGGAATCCCCAGTTAATTAAGTTTGTTTAATCGGTAATTATTAATTATGGCCCAAAGACCATCTAGTTCAAGTTATATTCGTTAAAAAACCGATTATGATAAATCAATATAAATTTTATGAATATTAGTAGATAGTAGTAGATATTTTTCCAGAATTGTACTTTATTGATGTATCGGTATTTTATTGATTTTTTAAATTGTATATGTATAACTACTTGAGTGCATTAAATTGTAAAAACACATTTTATTACTGTCAATGTTTTATAGTACCTATTGAATCTAACTAATTAAAGTTTTGACTAGAATTATTAAAGGGGTGCAACAAAGTTCAATTCTCGGACCAGTGTTGTTTTCATTTACATAAATTTGAAAGATCTAATACCTACCAAAAAGAGCTACTTATGGAGCTAATACTAATACGTACCTAGCACAACTCTTTATGCTGATGATACTTCTTTTCTAACCAACATCGTTAATAATGAAATAGTAGAAAAATGTTTTAAGGGAAGATTCGAGACGGTTTAAAAGCAACGTAGGTAATTATACTGAACTTGGAAAAGATACAAGATTTGAGACTGTAACGACAAATTATGACTTCGCAAAGCAACATTCTGGAAACTGATACATTTTCTGTAAAAGATTTAAAGAAGTTGTTGAATATGCACGTGAAAAGCAAATATAATATTATGCAATGTTTCATTGCCTAAACTGCGGGAATTTGTATTGGTATAAGTGATTAGTACATTGTGATTTACCCATATAAAAGGTAAAACACGAACATATGTGATAACTGATAAGCTATAACTTATCTCAAACATTTGAATCAAATACTAAAGTGCTTCAATTACTTTTTATATCAATAAAATAAATATATGAATTGATTAACATTGATTTTATCTCAAATTCCTAAATACAATTTATACATACCTACTATAGGTACAGTCTTATAAGAAGTGAGAGCCAAAAATCCTGTAATTATGATTACAACGAAGTTAAATATTATTATGGTGCTTATACTGGTTGCTCATAATACGAATCTACTAAACGCTGATCAAGGTTTGTTTTACAAATAACTTTTTAAAAAATATACGATATATATACGAAAATACTTAGGCATCTCCGGTATGTTCTTACCCCTGCACTTGCAATTGTGAGGTATATAATTGAATTTTAAATTGTATAGAATAGATATAGTAAACCTAGCAGATCATGCTCAATTTATCATGATAGGTAGACAGTATTGCAGTATTAATACTTACGTTAAAACACTACTTATTTTTCTCTTTTTAAGCACATATAATACAGTAGGAATACATAACTTATACCTATGTATCCGTTACTTCGTTACTTCTTGTGTTTTCTTGCAGATAATAAATTCGGGATAATCGGAGGAAATAAAACAACAATTGAAAAGCATCCCTGGATTGTTTCCATCCAGTCGGAAGGAAGCCATGAATGTGGTGGATCTATAATAAACGAGAACACTATTATAACTGCTGCGCATTGTTTTGAGTAAATATTTTTGCATTGAAAGTAATATTACATTACGATACTATTACTTGTAGTATCTATGTATGTATAATTATAATGAATGTTGTGTGTGTATTAGTATATGTATAGGCCCAAAATGTTCCGTACTAGTTTTTAACCAATGGTAATTTCATAAAATTTATATAGCACAGAAGATGAGTTGCAGATAGTTGCAGGTACTGCAGATTTGACTCAAAAAGGCGAGGTTATTAAAGTGGAGCGTTTGATTAACCATGAAAACTTCGATTTTGAAACCATGGACAACGATATTGCGATTATGAAGGTATTAGATTATTTATTTTACAATAATATTAGTTTGTTTCGTAGTAAATCTAATCCTATTTATTTTAGTTGTCGACAAACTTGACTTTTAATGAGAAAGTTAAACCTATATCTCTTCCGGAAAATAAACACATAGCGGATGGGACACCGGTGATTGTATCTGGTTGGGGATCAATAATAGTAAGTAAAATACATTCGCATCGATGGCAACTATTATTAGACATTATCAATAAAAAAAATAAACGTTTATTTTTAAGCCGGATTCAGACATCTCATCGAATGATTTACTAGAGGTTGTGGTCTACATTGTGAATCCAGAAATCTGCTATAAAGAAATGGGCAATGAGACGACTAATAACATGATTTGTGCAGGAGTCGAAAGGGGAGGTAAAGACAGCTGTCAGGTAATGCAACCAGAATAATATTTATTACATTCTTCTTTATTATCATTCTATTCTTCTAATTAGTGCCCAGTAGGTCAAATTTTAATAATAAATGATATTTGTAGGGTGATTCAGGAGGACCTCTTGAGCTAAATAACACGTTAGTTGGTATTGTATCTTGGGGTTCTGGATGTGCGGAGCCTAAATCACCTGGAATTTACACCAACGTAATTAATTATAGATCATGGATAGAAGAACATATTAACATATAAAGTACCCTTTTAATACATTCTTTGAAATCTTTGAAAAAAATTGTAATATTATAACCATGTAATATGTAATACATATATCATAAAGATTTTAGTTCTATTCTATTCTATATTTGGAGAGTCGAGCTCTGAAATTGCAATGGTTAAACAAACTTTCTAACGTCTAACGAGTTGAGCGTTAGGTACTAAAAGAATCTAACAAGAAAGAATCTAACAATAATTTTCGGACCAGTGTTGTTTCAATTTACATATATGAAACATCTAATAATTCTTTCCTAACAAAGGTCTATTAAATTTGCAGTTTCTTCGTGTTAGTTGATGGTAAAACAAGCCAAGAGTTTTTATGGAAATTTTTAATGATGTTTTTAATATGATCTATAATTTCAAAGTGACGGTTTCTATATACAATAACAAAATCAAATCTAACTAATCAAAAAACAAAAACCAGAAGCCTACATATTTCCTTTAACATAATTTAGTAACTTTAACAAGGTCGTTATTGAAAAACATATTAGAGGAATGTTTTAATTAGAAAAGCATCGAGATGGCTTAAAAACAATGTAGTTGGATCTGGAAAAGCCTGGAAAACACAAGATTTGGAACTGATGACACAACAAGGCAATACTCTGGAACCTGTTAAATTATCTGATGTAAAAGATCAACTAAAGAAGTTGTTGAACAAGAACGAGTATGTACAAAGCAAACATATCATGCAATGTTCCATTGTAGGATAAGGATAAGATATAAGATATTTAGCGTGGGGAATCTAAAATCAATCAATTGTGATAAGGCATTTTATTATTGTCAATATCGATAGAATCGAATCCAACTAATTAAAGTAAAAAAGTTTTGATTTGAATCTGTTTTAGAAGAATGTAATGATTTGCAGAGATTCTTGTCTACTTAAGGTATCTCAAGAAAAATCTCTAAAAAGTGCTTAAATGACTTTTTATATTTTTTCATTGATTAAATAAATATGATATGTCGATTAGATATACTCTATATATTAGTAGTCTTACATTTACTGCGTTTAAAAAGTTTTTTAATGAAATTGAATAGAAATCGATCGATCAATATTTAAAAAATCCTGCAATTAATATGATTACAATGAAGTTGAATATTATGATGTTACTTATGATGGTACTTCATAATACGAATCTACTAAACGCTGATCAAGGTATGTTCTACAAATTACTTTTATGTATATTTACAAAAGAACATAAGAAGGTGCGAATGATTGTGCGATTCCGATTATAAGAGTAGTAATATAAAAAAACATATGGGTAAATTTTTTTTTTAAATTGTCAGAATTTATCACTATACTAAACATTATTCATTTTTCTATTTTTAAGCGCTATAATATACGGAATGCGTAGCTATACATGCGTTACTTCTTTTGTTTTCTTGCAGAAAATAAACTCGGGATTATCGGAGGAAATAAAACAACCATTGAAAAGCATCCTTGGATTGTTTCTATCCAGTCGGAAGGATACCATAATTGTGGTGGATCTATAATAAACGAGAACACTATTATTACTGCTGCGCATTGTTTTGAGTAAATATTTTTGCATTTAAAGTTACAATATTACAATAATACAACTTGCAGTAACTATAGGTATAATTAATGTTGTGCATGTAATTGTACAGGGTGTGCCAATGAAAACTAGCCCATTAATCAATATATAATTTTTAAAAGCCCAATTATAAAAACATACGGTTTTTGCATATAAAGGGTGTTTCAATAAGAGCGCAAGATTTTAAGGTTCAATAAAACAATGTTATCTGTAGAAAAATATGGAAATATTTATTAATTTATCATGTGTACATTTAGGAATTATATATGAAACAAAATATTTTGTAAATGGCCGCCGCGGCTTTGCTGGCACAACCGTACTGTTTTGAACATTTTCAATAGCATTATTGTATACATATGACGGTATTTTATTGATACAGCGTCTAATTTCGGCTTCCAACGCTTCGGTGGTCGCGAGCATGTTGGCATAAACCTATGACTACAAGTAACCCCACAGCCAGAAGTCCAAAGGTGCTAAATCACAAAAACGTGGCGGCCAATTCTGGTCACCAAACCGGGAAATGACCCGACCGGGAGTAATGTTTAACAATTAAGACGCGATTATGTTCCATATCCAGATCCATATCCAGATCCAATGCTCCATATTTACTAACTCCCAACTGTTAACTTTCGATCTGTCATGTTATAATTACGTGTTATTATGACTGTCAAATATGACAGGCAAATCAAATCTTGCGGTCTTATTGAAACACCCTTTATATGTTTTATTTTACAGGGTGTTTTATCAAAATCCCTTATTTTCAATTCACATTTGAACCAAATTTTATCAAATGTGTCATCTTTCTTTTGTTGAATAATAATATGTGTAGAACAAATAATATCTACATTTTTTATAAGTACTCGTAGAGGAAGTATATCTCTCAGAATACTTCTACCTATGCGGGGTGTTCCATTTAATAAAATTTGGTAGTAGATAATTCCTGTGTGACTGTAACAAAACGAAATAAAAACATGCGACAACCGCAAGTTTTTATGTTATAAGCGGATTAAATTGGCTACTCTTCATTGGGACACCCCGTATAGTTTTTTTCTTCTTTTTTTCATTATTTTTAAATGGTTTTTTCATGAAATTTATATAGCTCAACTGAAGAGGTGCAGATACTTGCAGGTACAGCAGATTTGACTCAAAAAGGCGAAATTATTAAAGTGCAACGTGTGATTAACCATGAAAACTTCAATCTTAGCAACGGCGTAAGTGACGACATTGCGATTTATAAGGTATAATATTATTTATGTTACTATTAGTTTATTTCGTAGTAAATCTAATCCCAAACCTTTATTTTAGTTATCGTCAAACTTGACGTTTAGTGATAAAATTAAACCTATAGCCCTTCCGGAAAATAAAGACATAGCGGATGGAACACCGGTGATTGTATCTGGTTGGGGATACACGAACGTAAGTAAATTACTTTTCGATAGATGACAATTATTAGACATTATCGATAATAAAATGAACGTTTATTTTTAAGCAGGATAGACCCGATGTATCTAATGATTTGTTAGATGTTGAACTCTACATTGTAAATCCAGAAATCTGCTATGAAGAAATGGGCGATCAGCTGACTGATAACATGATTTGCGCAGGATTCGAAAGTGGATTTAAAGGCTCCTGCAATGTAATCAGAATAATTAATTTTGGCATTATTTTATTATTATTTATTCTTCTAATTATTACCCCGTTGGTAATATTATATTAATTAAAGACATTTGTAGGGTGATTCTGGAGGACCTCTTGAACTAAATAACACCTTGGTTGGTATTGTTTCTTGGGGCGGTGAGGAATGCGCGGGACCTGAATCACCTAATGTATTCACCAAGGTAGTGAATTATATATCATGGATAAAAGAACACATTAACATTTAAAGCAATCTTTGAGAAAAATGTCATATTTCTAAATAAAACTTATTTTTCTCCAAAAAATTTATGAAAAAATATTTTTGAATCAAATAACAATTGATAAACATTTATATAAAATAATAGTAATCTGTAATCTGTAAAATAATAGTACCTCTGAAGTTGTAAACTGTAGACGATATTTACCTATTAGCATACCTACATAAATGTAATAGATTTTTAATAAACTCTTTAATATTTGTTTGAGCGATTACCTTATTCGGGAAAAATTGTTACTAAAATGAATTTTATTTGCATAAGATTGTTGGTTTTTCTCATGATCCATCTTTAAGTATTGTATTTGAAGTTGATCGAATTTTTTTTTGTTATTCATTCAATTGTTCCATTTAATTCAACTTCCTTGTATACCTACTTTAAGATATATATTTACTTAAATTTTCATTTTTCAAAAAAATTAACCGAAAAACATATTTTTTCAAGTGACTAATAATTTATAAACAATTTTAATCCTTTTACTGTCGTAAATTGTAAACGTAACGTATTTACATGTGATAAAATTTAGTGAATATTATAAATCAGTAACTAATTAGATTTCGTCCGTGCGAAATCCTTGCATATTCAATGAAGTACCTGCAATTACTTGTCGTTTTATTCGGCTGCTGGCAAACAAATGGTACGTTTTTATTTTAGGTAAATTATTTAAATAAACATTAAATTATTTTAGCTAGCGTGCCTCAATTAGATGGTCGAATTATAGGCGGAGAATTAGCTAATATCACCGACCTTCCATACCAAGTTTCGCTTCGAAAATACTCATCTCATATATGCGGAGCCACAATATTTCACAATTTTTACATAGTAACTGCCGCTCATTGCGTATATAGGTAAGTAGGAAAATTTCCAGTAATATGCCATTAGAATATACCAATATTGGTAGATCGTAATGGCAAATTTCTTGCTCAAATGAATAATTATACTTACCCCATTTTGTATTAATATTTTCTGTTTTGCAGATCATCCGCCTTAAGTTTTAGTGTCAGAGCAGGTACTTCTGATTTGTATGTAGGAGGCATAATTGTACCAGTATGTTCAATAATCGCTCATCCAAACTACAATTCAGAAACGATGATAAACGATATCGCCTTAGTTAAAGTAAAATAATGAATATAACTTCAGCATATTGGTATTAATGCTATAAATCTGGTTTTAGCTATGTAACTCTCTTCCATTCTCTCCAAAAATCTTACCAATTACTTTAGCAGGAGCATTGGACACGGTCGTAGCAGGGACCAATGCCGTTGTTAGCGGATGGGGTCTAACAAAAGTAATGTAATTTTTATTAAACGGTATCGTTTCGCTTCTTACTCATCTTGTTCCAGGAAGATGGATCTTCTCCGTCGAGATACTTGATGAAAGTTACAGTACCGATAATTACGAATAGTCGTTGCGCGTCGTTATATAGTCAGGAAATAGTAAATAGCGACATGGTGTGCGCGGGATATGTGGGAAGCGGTGGAAAAGATGCTTGCCAAGTAAGTTATAATTCTAAGATAATATGTGTTATGGCAATTATTATTAATGAATATGTTGCTTTATAGGGAGATTCCGGTGGTCCTTTAATGGCTAATGGAAAATTAATTGGCGTAGTGTCATGGGGGTATGGATGCGGTCAACCATTCTATCCAGGCGTTTACACAAATGTTTCGCAATTTCGATCATGGATAAAAAATATAACAAATTACTAAATGTACCTATTTTACTTTAATAAAACTGCTTAATAATTATTATCCTATAAATAATAATTTCCCAATCTTTTATCTTAGGAGATATTATTATATTGACAATATTGGTAAAGATCTTGATTAAATAGGTACTTAATCAGTTAATATTTTAATCAATAGATAAAATTTAATCGCTATATATTGCACTCTCTATAGTTCTAGGTGTAAATAATTGTTTGTGGGATTGTTCGAACAAAGTTTGATTTCACAATGGCGATACGTATTTATTTTATTTGTTTTCTTACGGCATTAAGTGAGTATAATATTATTACTATTCACTACATTATTTATATTAACTTAACTTTTAGTTGGCGTTCATTCTGCGCCAAATGTCTCTATGCGTGATGTTTCTAATGGAAATCGTTTAAAAATTGTGGGAGGCGACAACGCAACAATAACTGATTACCCATACCAAGTATCTGTTTTATTTGTCCAAAGAGGAGACTTATTACACGGATGTGGTGGCTCCATTATAAACGAGTTTTACATTCTCACCGCTGCCCATTGCACATATGGGTAATTAACTAACATCTTATGACCCTACCCCAATACAACTCATGTTACTGATGTCATTTACTTTATATTTTACTCTAGCGAAACAGAGGAATCAACAGCCGTTAGAGTCGGATCATCGATCAGGAACCAAGGGGGGACAGTTTACGAAGTCAGAAAAATACACATACATCCCAGATACAACCCCGAAACATTCGACTACGACATTAGCGTACTCGAGTTAACATCACCTCTCAGTTACGAACCCGGAGTTGCGGCGATTACTCTAGCTACAGAAGGAACTGAAATTACAGATGGCATCGAAGCGGTAGCCACCGGTTGGGGATACATGAAGGATCCGAAGCAACACGGTATACTGGCGGATCAATTGCAAGTGGTAACACTACCAGTCATATCTACCGAAACGTGCCAAAACCAATATTACCAAGGCGCTGTTTCAGACAGAATGTTTTGCGCTGGCTACGACGAAGGTGGAAAGGATACTTGTATGGTATGCCATATTGTTTTCGTTATGCGATGAAAAATACAAGAGGTTGACTGGAATATTCTGCTTATTTCAGGGTGACTCAGGAGGTCCGTTAGTTGTAGCAGGAATTCAAATTGGTGTGGTATCTTGGGGAGGAATATGCGCTGCGCCGAAACAACCTGGTGCTTACACAAAATTACCAGTATTTGAAGAGTACATTAATTCCATAATAAATTAATGACAATTACGCATTAATTTAAATTTGTCAAGTATTAAATTTTCGTTTGAGAGTATTTTCAATTATACCTTTTTATCCAATTAACAATCAATTTCATCGAAAACATTAAGTATCTACATTATCCCGTAATTTTCTCTCATTGAACATACCCTGCTCTTTTTTGTTGGAGAAAATTTAAGATTAATAGCTAATTATAATTTACGCCATCGATCGAAATTTAGTAGGTAATTGACTGGAAACATTCGATTAATAATGTATTAATTTCGAAAGTATACCTTTCGAGACTGAATTTGATTAATTATTACGTTACTTTAAAGGTAGAAATTAATAATTTAGGAACTTATAAATAATATAAGACACTGATTTTTTGATTACATTATTTACTAATCTTACAACGTATCTAAGAATAATTTAATAAAATTTCCAGTTTTGCACTAAAAAATAAATGAACTAAAAACCGGTTATTGACTCGATATAATCCCTAAGTACCGCTACATTCGTGTAGACTCCAGGTTTCTTGGGTTTTCCGCAGCCGAAGCCCCAAGAAACGATACCCATCTGCATTCCGTTAACAATAAAAGGCCCACCCGAATCGCCTTGACAGGTATCCTTACCGCCCTCAAGGTATCCAGCACAAAACATCCTGTCCGTTATAAGTTTTCCCATTATCCTTTTGCATTGTACTTGGCTGATCACGGGAATTTCAACCACCCTTAGTTTAGACACCATGGCACCATCTTCCCTAATCGAACCCCAACCTCAAAAAAATAGTAATTGAAAATAATTCTGCTCGAATAAAATTAATCATTTAAACTAACCAGTTACTGTACCCAAATCGCCTTCATTCAAAGTGGCTCCTTTAGGAGGTAGCGGTACGACTTCTGCGTAATCTGGATCCACCTCTTCGGATAATTCCAACAAACCAATATCATAGTCTATGGTCGAGCTCTTGTATTTTTTGTGGATGTATTTGCTGCGAATGCCAATTACTACGCCTCCTTTTTCCTTAGCCGTTGCTCCAGCTCGAACCGAAAGCAGTGGGGTGAAGGTGCTTTCCAGGCAATGGGCTGCCGTTAGCGCCCACGATGGGGAAATTAAAGAGGCCCCGCATGTATGTAAACCGAAGTATTCGAGGGAGAGCTGGTAAGGGTACACTACAACGTCAGTAGGAATACCTCCTATTATTTTACCATCGTTTTTGGGGCTGGGTATCTCTTGACCTAAATTAGCGGAAATAATATTACAATTAAAAATAATTTGAATAGATCACTTACCCAGAACGCCCAAAAAGTGTACAATTAGCACGAGCGGAATCATATTTGAAGTAAACTTCTTAACGCAGCATTTATATAAACGCAGGTTGTTTGTCTTAATTACTTATTGGTGGAAATCACATTAAGACAATTATCTATTGTAGTTGACCCGAATTGTTAAAAAAATTGGGTTATAGATAACTAAATTAATGCTCGGTTAAATTTTATGGAAACAACAATGCATTGCCTAATGTTAGTGGCAAACATAAAAATTGTAAAGGTATTATGAAAAATTAAATTTGTTCAAATATTTCTAAATGCTTGAACTAATTTTAATTTTGATTGGATACAAACATTAGATTTTAGGGCGACTAAATAACGGGGATAATAATAATATGGTGTAAATCGAGTTTAGATAGTAAAACATAAACAAAATTAAAAAATGCATTGATTTTATTGCACTGTTACTCTGAAGTAGCTAAATAAATAGCCGTTTCATAATTGCTGTGTTTACTATATTAAAGTCAAACAATAAACTTTCGAAGTGGTCCCTTTACAGGAATAGTCCAGTGTATTTATTCAATTTGCCTTTTTGACGAGATTTAAAGGATCCTTGTTATATTTAGCAAACAATTCCTTCTTAAAACCTTCGAACAATTTTCTGTTCAAAGCGTTTTGATGCTCTCTCCAAGGCGGCCTCGAATGCTTCACTTGCAGACCCCAATGGCACGTAAAAATCGGTGATAAAACTTCGAATTTATATCCAGAAACGTACATTTCATATACCTGCAGCAACACGAAATGTAAAGAGAAGAAGAAACCGATAACAAGACTTAATTACGGAAATAACAACGAAATTAATTACCTGACTATTTCTAGTGTATCCATAACCGATAAACCTTTCATCATGCGGAGGAACTGTATCAGGAGCTACATAGAAAGGCTCATAAAAAAACTCAAAATTCGTCACAGGATGGCTGATATGTACATCATCTGTGTCATCTCTCGTATTTTGCCACCTGAAATGCATCAATACAGTTTATTCCCATTACCTCTATGTATTATTAAGACGATAAATAGTAGAATTGTAACATTTGAAAAAAATCTACCTGGAAAAATTTGTAGCGTACTGATTGTAAATAAACACTTTATGATGGAAGGGCCTTGCCAATCCTTTGCTGGCCAATCGAACCAATTCAGTCTTATTATGAGGAAACATCACCCTTTCGTCAATTTCGTATGTTGGCACAACGTAGGCGCATTTGTCATTGCATTTAGCGTCTCTCAAGAAAGCATCCAAAATCTCCGCCATCCCTCTACTAGGAATAATATCCACATCTGTCAAGAACACATAATTGGTTTGGCAGTTCTTTCTCGCCAGGTTGCGCACGTGGTTCTGGGGATAGGACAATCTGGTTCTCCATTGATTAGTGCCTCTCTGAAGATTAAAGTCTTCATAGCAAAGTCGACGGTGCACTTTATCAAACTTACTTGAAAATTCTTAGTTAAATGTTGCATCACACCCAAAGGATTATCACAATTCAATTCCTTCAGTTTCAATGTATCGATGTTGAATTTCTTAGGTCTGCGTTCTGTGGTTAGGGCCAGGTGGAATGTCACTTTGTCGGCGATTCGTTCGTTGCATTTTCTGAGATATAGAACGTATAATAAAAGAGCGTTTAATTCGTCTTCGCTAGCGGCAAATGTGGCCAATGATATCGGTCCGTTCCAATTCTGCGCCACTTCTATCAAGGAAGGCAATTTGTCCAAGGATCCTTGCGTTGCCAGACATGTTTCGTATAAGTTGCTTAAAATGGCGAACCTGTGCAAAGAATAAAATTAGTGCCCACAGTAATCCCAGATTTTTCGTTTAAATAAACCACGATTACTTTCATTAAAAGCAATTATACTGGGTGGACCTTCGGCGATGAAGACGTAGGAATAACACAAGTAACTATTGTAATGTGGATCGAGTAGAAGAAAGATAGCGTTAGAACTTATAGAGTGCTTCTACTATAGTAGATGTCCAATTGTAACGCTATCTCTCTTCTAGTAGTCATATCCATCTCTCTTGAATTTGGATGATTCCTATATCCACTTTGGCGCCGACCAACCCGGTATATTTTTATTATATACAGTTACAATTATATTACAGTTAACAATCGATTTAGGGCTTTTAGGTGATGAGTACCTGTAAGATAGATTAGTTATCAATTATTGTACTCTACTTACTTTCGACCTACTAAAAAATTATCAAAGTATTTGTATTTTCGTCGGTTGTCCCATCGTCCCAAATTTAAGTCTAGCCTGGGCAGTGGCCCATCTTCGAGATCTTCAGCTTCTCTTTGGTATTTCTCGTACACGATTTGCGGTATTTTATGTACTGGATGCTTGGGACAGTCGTGGATATATGACAGTCTCACTGTCAGCACTATGTTGTATACCGTGAGAAAGAAGAACGCTGCTATGCATATATTCCAAAAACGACATCGACACTGCGAAATTATGACAAGTTTTTTTTAAACTTAAATATTAATATTTACATGCTTTCCTTATGTATGTAGAGGTTTGAATTGTATGTAAGTTCTTATTAAAATGTCTAATCAATACATGCATATTCGAAAATAAAGATTTACCTGAATCATTTGGCATTAAAAAAGACTTCCGATTATCCACTAAATTATCTCCGACATAGTGATTTATCTAACGTCCAATTTTAATAATTTACCAGATGTAATATTGAACATATAGATAAACTATATAACTTTTTTAAATCACAGCCAATCTTAGGAATTCGGGAATCGAATATTTTATAGATGAAGTATCAGGAAAATTCACATGAATATAGCAGAGCAGAAAAATCTAGTAGTATTCGACACAGAATTAAATCGATTCTGCTGGTGAAAGGTTGATCATTATACTTGCATTAGGTGAATAATAATTCCAAATAATGCAAATACATAATTCTATTTTTAAACGTAACAAAACACATTGGACTGATATGGAATATCAAGCAATTAATGAGAATTAGATAAAAAATCGAAATATAAACCTGATAATCGTTTGCTTGTATTCGATTCTACGCAATCGAGGAACTGGCTATTGCGCACTTGTAGTTGGTGTTGAAATCGATTTTCTCATGGGGTTGGTTTCAGGCGGATAGAGCCTGAAATTTGAAAGCATTGCCTTCTCCTGGAAACTAACCAATTTATGTTTCCTCTAAGTATCGATTGCGTTAAACTATTAGGGATGATTACATTTTTGAATAACTTTTGCTATAAATATTCCGCACTTTATTGGAACATAATGGAGTGTTCGATAAGGGTAGATCTTTCAGTAAATTGTGGCGCTTGTAGATTGCAAGGATGGTTACTCAAGATTTTTATCCATTTTTTTCATGTTTAACATCCCACTTAATTTTGGCACCCTTAATATTTTTGCTAAAAACTTTTTTCTCATTTTTGAAAAACCTGCACTAGCCACCCACAAGGAATCTCTTCAAATAACATTGCAGCAAAACAATTTTCTTAAAATCCATACTATTTAGTTTGCCTATCGGATAAATAGATGGCGCAGAAACTTCGAAATAAGCCATCAACCGATACATTTCGTTTAAATGTCTGCTGGCATACGCCGACCTTTCTAATTAAATGCCAACATTTTTTTTCCAGTGACTTTAAAGCAAGGAAATTTTCATCTGCAATATTTTCAAACGGAAACAGGAACGTCTGCAGAGAAACAATTATTTTTGTTCATACTCTGTGAGAAAAAATATTGTACCGGACTGTGGTTGTATTAAAAAATAAAATTTTTATGAAGTTCTGACTACAATTAATTACTCAACACAGAAATAATAATTTGTACCTAAACAGGTCTGAAAATCGGTATAATATCGAATTACGGAGTATCCGCTAGTTTTCGAGGTGCAGTAGGTGTATCGCAGTGTATCGTTAATAAAATTTTCCTTTTCGCTCTTTGATAATACCAATTTATATAACAGTTGGCACATAAATATCTAGTTTAATTATTATTCATTCGTGACGTATTTATATTTCTCAACAAACACATATGATTTTCTCTATGAAAGTTAGAAGCAAAAAGTTGACAAAATCAACAACATTGTTGAAAAGTGCTGCTTAGAGCATTTTACTAATATGTTTTAGAAGTACCTATAACATTTTTATAAGTATAGAAACTTATGTATAAATATAATCAATCGCAAAGAAATCTACAATAGTGAATATTCTTTTACTAAACATAGGTAGGTATATGTATACATATAGCACGCGATAGGGGTGCCCTAACATGTTCCATTAGAGCATATTAATCCATTAGACAATCTATTAGCCAAGGAATATAATTACCTACTTTGAAAACAAAAACGACTGCATGTTAGTAAATAACGAATCAACCATACTTTGCTCATTTCTGTAATAATAGCTTACTTATTTACTTAACGTTAATGAACGTCTACATACAAGTTGTTTCATATTTTACTTTGCAATATGATCTTAATGGATTAAATGGATCCAAAAAATTCAATTATATAAATTTTTCTAGATAATTTTGTTGCAAATAAGTAAATATTTTATTCAGTAAAAATTACGTAAAAATTACAACTCTTGCAGAAATGCAATAAGTGGATGATAAAAAAGTAATAGCAATAGAATTTGATTTAAGCACAAGCTTTAATTTAACCGATGAATGAATTTGACACCAATTGACCTATTTTTTTTGTTTCAAGTAAATAACAAGTCTTTCAATACCATACGAGTTCAAAGAAAATGTATTACCCACCGATTTTTAATTTTGGTTGAAATTTAAAGTAAACTATTTCGTATAATATTGGAACGCAACCTTGATGAAACAAAACGGTTCGTTTTTATACGGTGGTTACAAATTGGGCATATGCTGTTGTTAAGCAAACATTATTATTGATATTTTTTCAGTAATTATTATTTTACGGGGAAACGCCATGACCTACGTGACATGAGCTTTGAACACAAAATGGTCTTTATTTTTTTATCTTCATTATTCATGCAGATTGCCAGAAAAGCTATGTAGTAGGTAACGAGGAATCATATATTAATTTATTTGGTCAAATTTGTATGTTCCAATAGGGTCATTTTTTGTGTATTGTAGTCAGACTCGTTAAAAAGATCTACTGAATGTGTCTATTGTGATATCGACGAAAACGACGTTTTAATTAGCAGTAATAACCCCTAATTAAGCCCTAATTAAAGTAGATTAGAGTAGATAATTAGTAGATAAATGTAACATTCGATTCATTAGAAAAGTTAAATAGGTCCCTATGAGAATAATTAAATAATTATCATAAAAACGCGTCGTGTTTTCCACAACAGGAAATTTCAGGAAAATAGGAAGTTCTAAAAGCACACCTATAGTATTTATTCATTTGGAAATCTTAAATTGTTCATATTTACTATGATTCCTTTGTTCTCTTCATGCATTCTACACCTCGTTTATGCATACAATGAACAAAGGCTTCTGAAAATATAGGTCATCGCAGTGAACGCATCACCAACGCAATTTCGTAATTATCACTTCAATAAATGAAATTCATATGAGAATCGTATGGATTTTTCCCGGTTTGTTCGTATTAGCCATTGACCTATTTAACACGCCAACGTAAAATAATTTTCAAATGGGTTCTTCAGATTTTCCATTTCGCTCTTTTAATGAGGTTCTGCCTAATATGAATTAATATTCTTTATGATATCAAATAGGTACTTAAAGAGCGTTTTTAAGTGTAAAATGATTTTGTAGGTCATCGGTTGTTTATCATTAATGATGTTAACTTCAAATTGCCACCAACAACACGATTATTATGAAAGGTCCGATAGAAAATCGTCTATTCCGCTCCTGCATCGCTCTGACCTCATTCATGAATCGAAGAAACCGAGCTGTTTTTTCTTGAGTGTGTAATGTTTGTTTACTACAACGTCGTGTCGTTCGCGTCGATACGCAACCAACTCCAACTCCAACTGCTCCCCGTCGTTAGACTAGGACTTGGACTAGGACTTGGGCTAGCAAATGTAAATGCGTCTAGTGAACCAAGCAGTTTCCATCCGAAGCGCTGAGAGCCAGCCAGTACGAAGTGGAAACGCCGGCCGTCGTTGACGGAAAACTCGCACGTGCGAAAACACGTGGTGAACAGTTACAAACAAGCAGGTATTCGGGCGTTAATAGTGCGTGGGGTGCTAAAGAGAGTACAGTGATTTTTATCGGGAGTTCATGAGTTAATTGGAAAAACCTTTGCGAAGGTGAGAGCTTTATAAAATTAATATGTAACGGTTTATTAAATTATAAAATATTGTTTACTTAGTATGTAATGTAATGTCTGGATGCGTATCTGTACTTATTCGTTGCATCTGCAACCTTCGTTATAATTCATAAACATTGTGTTATTGTTATTGTGCTTGTAATTATCTACTAACGAACGCATGATTATTGCCAATTTTCTACCAATTTAAATTGTTTACTTACATTCCGAACCTACCAGAACATTTTATAATTTAAATTTCTGTTATGTTAGAAATAACTAAATAATTATTTTACTTTTACTGTGCGTTAGCGGCGGAGAAACAAGGTTATTAGAAAGTTTTCGATGATCATATTTGAACTCAAATGTATATAACTGTGATTCAGAATTACGTTTACCTACTCATTGCATAATAAAATTGTAAACAATATACCTACGTCAAAAGCGTATTATTTTCACTGCAATAAAATTTTCCATTTTTATTTTCACAACTTTAGTAAAACTGTTAACGTTTGTAACTTGCAGCAAATCGAAATATTTAAGATAAGCATTGGATAAAATTCAAGATAATAATACAAGATAAACTGTATAAACAACATAGGCAAAAGCAAAACTACATTCGTACCGGCAAAATTCCAGGATACTTGGTTTATCCAATATTATAGAGATACGTAATGTTTGTATGACACAATATTTACAATTTATTTTGTTGTATCATATATTGGTAAAAATGACGTAATTTTTATAGCACCTATCCTGTTTAATGCAATATGAAACTTATAATAATTTGAAGGTTATTGTTGTGCTAGTTATACAGTTTTTACACATACATACCTAATTATACTCCATAAAAGGGTGAGATAGGAATAATTGCCTAAAAACGGCGTCATCAATAACATCTAAGTACTTATTAAGACTAAAATCTATGCACACCACACCTACACAGATAGGCGTGAAAACTAATCCTCTTTTCTTGATATAAAAAAATCCTTTGAATTAACCTTTAATTCCATTAATTAAACCACGAAAATGATTTGATTACTTTCATTAATACCGAATTACACTAGTATTTTGAAAAAGCTCCTAGAATTCCATGAAATAGATTACTCGCGCTATGCACTTATATACTGTTGGAAATTAAATTTCGCATAATAGGGAAATCAATGTTAAATTCTTAGCCGGCTAAATTCCAGTCTACCAGTATACATTTCAATAGAACGTCGCGATAAATTCTAATAAATTTAATTGTTCTACTGGACCGCACGCCGCGATTTGTAGAGGTACTAAGTTATTTGTGTTAGGTATGAGGTACAAAATTATTTAGAAACTACAATTAATAGGTTTTTTGGGGATATTTCAAAAAAATGTGTGTATCGGTAGGTACAGTTTTGAAATAGCAACAAATCTTGTTAAAATAAGGAAAAATAAGGAAAAAATAATTCAATTTTCTTAAAATTACACCTCAGCTCAGTAATATGAGATGACATCTGTATGACAGGTTTGGCTACTGTTTAGCAGAAAGCGGTGGACTATTTTTTAGAGTTCTTTTATTTTCTATTTTAAAATAATCTTTAAGTTTATTTTTGGAGTATTCTTTTTATTATTTTCTTAGAATTTACTTTCTTTTTCAAGCCATTGTGGCAAAAAGACATATCTACATAATTCTATTTTATTATTAGTGATATTTTTTCAATAAATTATCGTTTAAAAATTCTCATTTCTTTTTAATCGACTCGACGTTCACCCATCCGAACCCGTTTTGATACTGTCGAAGTGTCGAAACCGTCGAAATTATTTGATTTTTAATCTAACCAAACCAAAGCGCGGTGTAAAGTCCAGTAGAACAATTAAATTTATTAGAATTGATCGCGACGTTCTATTGAAATGTACACTGGTAGATTGGATTTCAGCCGGCTAAGAATTTAACATTGATTTCCCTATTATGCGCGAAAAATTTTCCAACACGGTATACTGGCAATAAAGATAAATTGAGAAAGCCATAATGAATAAAAATTTCAATATCTACTTTTTCATATCTTTTATCGATAAGTCCGAAAATTAAAATCCAGGTGTTCCACTAAGAGGTTATACATTTCTATTGTGAATTACTGGTAAATTCGACTCATGTGTACGACCGAAAAATCTCTCGTTTCGATCAAAAAAGGCTTGTAAAGTATTACTGGCTGAAAACCCTACACGCAACATAGAAAAGTCAATCGATAAACCAGGTAGGGCTAAAATGTTTTTTGCTTTACTTATCGATCAGAATTTTCATATACTAAAAAAATATTTCATTGTTTAGGTACGATTCGAATATATTGAAACACCGCGCCCTAAAAAATTGATTGTATGTAAGTTTATCCTCTACATACCTACAATCTTACATTATACCAATAACTGCTTTTGTATAGTTTAAATTTTTTTAACAAACCTCTTCAATTTCAACATTTTTTTTATTTAATTGACCTCTTAGTTGACTTCTTATGTGACCCTTATGCAAGGTTTATAAAATTTCGGGTATATAAAATTTCTATTACCATCGCTTGAGCGATATGAATCATCTGCCTCAATTGAATTTTAAGTTACTTCACCTGTAGAATAATTTAACGTGACGCAATGTTGCATAAGTTTTGTTTATATAATGCTGTTAGCTGTTAGCCAGTGCACAGGTTGATGCCTCTTTTAAATGGCCTTGAAGCCAAGCGAGGCTATTCTTGCTTCTTGCTGCAACGCCAGATCAATTATTTCCTGGTTAATATTATCGGAAAGCATTTCTCGAATTTTTAGTTACAATCATTCAATTTCACTAATTTACACGAACTGAAGACCACTCCGCTCCTTACTTAGGAAATTAGCATAATGATGGATATTCTGGTTCGCGTGACTTTATTAATAGGTTAAACTCTACCAGCTAACCATTTTTTTAGTATATGTATGTTGATTGGCGATAGGACCTTTCCACGAAACGTCGGGAATTTATTCGAATTGTTAGGCTCCTTAGAAGGTTACATTATACCTATTTAATGAATACAATTATAACGTTTACACTATGTTTATTAAATTTTAACAATACGTTACTCTTAATAATTTTTGTTGGGTTTTAAGCATTATTCTATGGTGGGATGTACGAAAATACATATGTGTGTGCAATAGCAATTTTATTGATGGTTTCGTACGTTTTTACATTAAACTCTAGTTTTGTATTCATGTTTTATAATTATAATTACTATAAAAATCACTCTCCAAACAATGTACATTGTGTTGTAGATATTGTATTAATCTTACTGTTACATAACTTTTCTATTATCATTTTAATCTTTTTGCTGATATCGATTCCTAAACAAATAATCTTTTAGTACAATACTTTTCTAGTTATGTAATTCATTTACTAACTTACATTAGAACTAAATTATCAGTAATAATTTTATTGCGATCAAGTATTTACATAGATTTAATTCTGTTAAAACTCCAAAAAATATTATATTTATTATGTCTTTCATTAGAATTTTGAGAATCGCAACGACCCATTAAACTTTAAGGCCGGGCGCAAAATGAAGCGCAGCTTGGTGAGGTGACGCAGCGTGAGTCACGGTGAGATTTGGAAAGGGGGTAACTGCCAGCGCGAAAGCCGCGCAAATAATACCGCAGTTGTAATAACCTGCTTGCGCTTTCAAGAACCCAGTTGGTTTAACAAGATGGAAATAGCTTCCGCCCTTACGTTTGAGTTTAGTTCTGAATCTGATTCGGAAGATGAGTTCATGTCCGATGTTGTATCGATGACCTTAAAAACGAGTAATAAAAAGGCAGCGAGAAGTTCATACATAAAAAAAAGGAAAACTCACGGAGAATTCGCTCTAACCAAAGAATTTAACGATGCACAGTTTAAAAATTATTTTCGACTAAACCGTGATCAGTTTAGTGAAGTGCATGAGATCATCAAGAAAGAAATTTACGCAGAAGGATGTAACGCTACAAGGCCCATCGGGACGGAAGAGAAACTAGCTGTTTTTCTAAGGTAAGTTATTTTATTCGTATTCAATTTATTTCTCTGTAAAATTAGTGATTAATCAGTTCGTCTCCAGTGTTACCCGTAGGGCAGTCGTTCTGTTCCCTATGAATATCAAATGAGCTTAAGAGTGAATGTTCCGAATAGAAACTGGTTGATGTTGATGCTCTGCTGCTAGATGGGGTGGCTGCAGGAACAGAATGTAGAGTATGGTAGTAGGGCTGCTGCTGATCAAGGCTGTGCTGCTGGTGGACAGGAGAACTAATGCCCAGTAACATGGCTTCCGCTTGTGACACTTCGTTGAACAAACGATTTTTAACCATGTGTTGATATGAGGGTGGCATTCGTTTGGTAGACTGGTACATTGCCATAAAAAAATTAAATAGGGGGTCATTTTGAGTTGGTTGTATTTGTTGTAGCAAAGTTCTTCTCTCTTCCATTCTTGCTTTAGCCCTCTCCTCACGTTTCTCAATGCTTTCTTTAAATAGTGTAGCAACGTTATCTTTCTTAAGTTTTTTAACTGCTTTGGGGGTTGCACTGGACGTACGCATTGTAGGAAGTTTTTCTGAAAGTGTTTGAGATTGGGATTCATCCTCCACATTTTCGCTTTGCTGCTCTATGTCCATTTGCTGCAAATTTTCATTGTCTACCTCTACAGCTTCTTCATTGACTTCAAAATCTTGTGATATATTTTCAGTTTCATTGTCTTGGAGGTTTCCTTCTCTAGATTTATTGGCCATATAAGGCTGCAGAAATCCCATCTGTTTTTGAAATTTCCATTCTTTCACAACTTCCGCGCCTGCTCCACTTTTGAAACATTTTTTTTGTCGTCTAATCGCATCTCTCAATGAATGTCGTAGTTTTTCCCATAGTGACTTTGCTTCGGATCCTACAACAATAAATTAACTTCACAGTTGTAATAACATAACCCTTTAAAAATTCTATACAAAAATCAAACATTTAAAAAAAATGGGAAAACTTGGGGGGAATGTGGGAAAAGTGTTAAACCTGTTTCATTTTTTTAACAGATTATTGTATTTCAGATACTTGGCCACAGGAAACAGCTATAAAAGTATGGCGTACAGCTATAGGATGGGTGATCGAACCGTCTCCAATATTGTGCGAGACGTTTCTGAAGCAATATGGAAGCTGATGCAACCAATATATTTGCCCGAACCAACAGAAGAACAGTGGAAATCAGTAGCAGATTCATTTCAGAGAAAATGGCAATTTCCACATTGCATTGGTGCCATTGATGGCAAACATGTGGTCATTAAAAAGCCTGGTAAAAGTGGATCCTCTTTTATTAATTATAAACATACTTTCTCGATTGTGCTAATGGCTGTCGTCGACTCGAATTATAAATTCATCACCATTGATGTGGGGTCCCAAGGAAGATTCAGTGATGGAAACGTTTTCAGCACAGGCGTTTTAGCAAAGAAAATGCTGAATCAAACTTTACATCTCCCAGCACCTAGTGAAATACCTCCACTTGTGGACCCAATCCCGTATGTGTTTGTAGGAGATGAGGCCTTCCCATTATCTGACAATTTGATGCGACCTTATTCTAAACGAGGTGTCATTGATAATTTTGAAAACAAGGTGTTTAATTACAGACTGTCACGTGCACGTCAAACGGTTGAATGCGCTTTCGGTATACTTGCCTCGCGTTTTCGAGTTTTCCGAACACCTTTCGAAATTAAAGTAGAAAGTGTGATTAATGTTGTCAAGGCCGCATGTGTATTGCACAATTATTTAAGGAACTCGTCAGTACCTCACAGTGAAGAGGAATATAATGAAGATATGCCGCAAGATCAGCTGCTCCCATTGCAATCGAGCAATGCTCGAAGTACACGAAAAGCTTTTAAGATTCGAGAAGACTTTACGCATTATTTTAACTCTGCAGGAGCGGTACCTTGGCAGAGGGAAAGTATTGCTAGAGGGAAATATTGACAATTTACAATAAATAAACCGTAAATAAAACTTACCACTCTTCATTCCGATTTCCTTAGCGATTTCCCCCCACTTTTCAGTTTTTAATTTCGTTCTCATGTAGTCTGCATGACTAATATCATACAGAATTTGGCGAATCCGCACGGCTTCGATTAATTTCTCTTCCATTACTTCCACTCACCGTGAATAACTACAAGAAACTGCGGGATCGGCACTGTGTTCCGCAGGATCACGTTAAGCTAAAACTGCGTCACGTCACACTGCTAATCACTATGCGCAAAGGTATTTATTTATTAGGTTCACAAAATCTCACCGTGACTCACGCTGCGTCACCTCACCAAGCTGCGCTTCATTTTGCGCCCGGCCTAAACGTAAGGTAATTTTAAGAAACATTGAATGCCCTAATTGGTAATAAAAACCTGACGGGCCAATATCGATACGGTTTGATGTTCGATAAATTCTTTAATATCCAAGGATGCCCTAAATAATTCCTTCGTCTTGATCTCATTTAGCATTTAGTATGTAATGAAGGAATAGAATCAGGAATTTAATGAATTGCCTCATTGACCTGGATTGCATGGAAGGAATTTTATACAGAGTGTGTTAATATTTAATTGATCAAAGAAAATATGTTATCACACTATTGTATCAGTAGACTAACACAATATCAAGTTTTTTTTCATTTTTAGAGCCAGTTAGAATTTTTTAATCTTTCGATAACTTTTAATAACCTTTCGATAACAATTTTAACTAGACAAATATCAATTTTATTAATAATTCTATTAGAGATGACTATAACCATATTTATTCTCTAATGTAATAGCCAATAAAATAAAACTTTGCGCTAATGCATTCCGTCACGTAAGCGTAACTAACCTCTAGAAAATTCTCATTGGAGTAATAAGGAAAACACTCTGGAATTTCCCATTAGATGTATGAGAATAATTCATTTTGTAAGTAAAACATTAACCAAACGACTACATTGACAAATATTTTCTTGTTATTAAAATCATTCTATTCCATGCCATTAAATTACTTACATATTGTTAGTAATAATACCAACTTATATTGTATCATATTGTTTGGTTAATAAATATTTTCATCACTAGTATATTCAAAAACTAGTGTAGCAGTTCAAAATATGTACTTAAGTAAAGCTAGATACATATGTTGCTCCATTTCATCAATTTTAATAATAAATTTAATTTTACTTAATTATTTTGTTTAATAAAATATCGGTTCAAGTCGAGTAACACGCTGTTATTATATGAATCAACAAGTAATTAGTCTTAATTATTACTCAAGTGGGTTTAATTGATAGTTAATAGCGACGAATTGAAATGCATACTCATACAGTATATTTTTAACTGCTCATGCATAAAAATAGTATAAATATAAATACAAACTGTGTGATATCGTGAAAGCTTAAGGCGTATTATGTAAACCGCAATGTAAACCACAATGAGTTATTTGCATCAGTCTCCTTTGGGAATATTAATTTACCATAAATCAATAGTCAAAAGAATCGTTAAATTTTAGACACTATGCGTTATAAAAATTAATTTGATAATAAATGGGTTAATAATAAAAAATCTTTGTTGTAGTGATGACAGAAGGACTCCATGAAGGTGTACTAGGAAATGGTACAGCGATAAATAGCGGTTCTATCAAAGGGAATTTAATCAAAAGAAGAATTAAACATGAAACTGTCGACGAAACCCAACAAAAAACACACGAGAACATCGAAACGAACGAAACAAACGAAACGGAGGAATTTGTTCCTCATATAAGGTGGCCCGACACCTTCGTTCAACTCTACTTACATTTAGGCTGTTTGTATGGAATATATTTGTGCTTAACATCAGCCAGATTTTACACAGTGGTATTTGGTAAGTACCTATGTTTATAGATTAAATTTAAACTTTAATATGATTAGTTAATTGGAATATCAATATGGGAATTGTTTTGAGCAACTTAATTCAGGAATCGGAGCGTGGGATCGAATGACGTGACAGGAGCCATCGCCTGTCGCCGGGTTTCAACAGGCTCCGGATATCGTAAAAGCCGTTGGAGTAGAGCGGCGCCACAAATTATCCTGTTTTTCCGCTAGATTCTCGATCAGAGCCGGATCATCCCGAAAGGAGCGCTCTTTTATCCAATATTTCCTAATATTGTCGTTGTTTTGTCACTTACACTAACAAATTCTGCTTTACTTTTTAACAACATAAATGCAATTCTTGTAAACCTTAACAGCAGAAAAATTGTTGCGATTGAAGAAGTATAAAACGTGGAACAAAAAAATTTCCCAATTTTCCTAATCACCCGCGTTCTGAATCTCGTTCATTGCCCTTTTTCGACGACGATCGAGATGTTGACGCCCTACTTATTCCCCAGCGTCTGGAAGTTTCCAGAGAATCATCCAGAGACATTTCGAAATACATATTGACTATATCCAAGGTTTATTGTTTCATAAAATAAAAGTTTTTATTATAAATCGATTGATATTATTTTATGAATCTGGTTTAAAGTAGTTTTTAATACAGGAGTAAATATTATATTAAAAGTCAATAAAAAAATAATGCTTGAAAACATTGATGGAAATCATTCAATGGAGTTGCTCATAGAACTTAGAAATTCTGTTTTATGTTTAAATTAAAATGTTTTTAACAATCATACCTTATGTTTCAGCACTTCTGACGGTATATATGTCAGGTTTTGGTATCACAGCCGGAGCTCACAGATTGTGGTCTCATAGAGCTTATAAAGCCACATGGCAGCTGCGACTGCTTTTGGTATTATTATTCACAATTACCGGCCAGGTAAGCCATGTTTATTTATACTTTTTAATTCGACATTAATTTATGGCGTTTAAAGCAAACAGTAATTATTGTTGTCAATAAAGCGATGATCGGGTCTTATAATATTCATGAGTTGGTTGCTTCACTATTTATTGAAAGTAGGTATACTTATTCAGTCATTAGAGGTATTCGAAACGCGAATACTTATGACTTTGGGTAGTTCGTCCGACTTGCTCGACTTTAAGAAAACTGAATAAAACATGCAGTAATTCTGTCACGCGACATTCTTTCACAGTTTTATTTCAAATAGACACAAATATTTTACAGAATGTAAACTTATAAAAATTTTACGAGGTGTTAGTTTTATATCAAATACTTTACTTAGGTAGGTATTTGTGAAAATGTATGTGACTTAACGTTTATATTTATTTCAGAGGCACGTCTACGTATGGGCCTTAGACCACCGTGTGCATCACAAATACAGCGAAACGGATGCTGATCCGCACAACGCGAAAAGAGGATTTTTCTTTTCGCACGTAGGGTGGTTGGTGTTGACTCCGCACCCTAGCGTCATAGAAAAACGAAATTCCGTCGACATGAGCGACTTAGAGGCTGATCCTATTGTCATGTGGCAAAAAAAGTAAGCTTATTTTTAAATATGCATATACGGTTATGCAAAAATACTTTAAAAATTATCGTAGGGAAGTTGTATGTAATTAGGTTATCTGTACTCATATATGTAGTTGAATTTCTAATGCCGTTAATTTTAGTTAAATATAGCAAATTTTCATTTTCGTATACATTATAAAAAATTTTATTTATAGTAGGCTTCATTTTTATGGAATTTGCTTTAGAAAACCTGGCTAATCAAATATTAGAAGAAAATATTTTTGATTAATATTTCTGATAAAAATAAGAAAAACCACGATTAGTATATCTTTGAACTGAGTTGGTTCTAATTTACTTTTTTCATATAGCATTTCTATATCTACATATACAGTTGACCTCATTTAAATATACCTCACAATTTTAAATCTAAAATTAGTAAATAAATTTCCATAATATATAAAAATATAATATATTTATCAACTGTTAAATTACTAATATTAATTCTGTTTGTAATCAATTCGAAAACAACTTATCAATTATTTTGTTTTTCAGGTATTACCCTATACTGTTTCTCTTATTTAATATTATTCTGCCAGTAAGCATTCCTGCGTATTTTTGGCAAGAGTCCCTATGGAATTCATTTTGGATAAATTTCAACGCTAGATTTACCATTACGTTGAACATTGCCTTTTTCGTGAACAGCGTGGCTCACATGTGGGGACAGAAACCCTACGACAAGTAATTATTTATTCACCTTATTACTTATCCTTCCTATAATTTTTATATCCATTATCCCTACAATGAAATTTGCAGGAACATCAGCCCAGTGGAAAACCTAGCAGTATCCATAGCTGCGTTGGGCGAGGGTTGGCACAATTACCACCACGTGTTCCCATGGGACTACAAAACGGGTGAATTGGGTAACGGATATAACCCGTCCACTAGCTTCATACACTTCTTCGCCAAACTGGGGTGGGCCTACGAATTGAAGAGTGTATCGAAGAATATGATTCTTAGAAGGGCTAAGAAAACGGGCGACGGGAGCCATCCCCAAATATGGGGCTACGGTGACGAGGACATCGAAAAGGAGGACAAGGAAGAACTCGAACGCATGGCGGCGGAAGAAATGACAGTTGAATAAATTTACTATAATACCTATAATATACGTTTAAATTAATTTATGGAATATTTAATAATATTATGTCGAAACGTGACTGACGTTTTTGATTGTCCTAAGTTTCTGGAGTATTCGTACAATTCACATTCATAACATTTTTTAATAATTTCATTAGTTTCAATTGTTTCTATACCAATGTGTTTACTTAGATACCTACATAATTTTCCTTTTGTTTACTCGACTTAACGAATTGAAAACCAAATAGTGGAACTCGCTGATAAATTATTTGCTTTTAATCATCATTTTTCATTAGTACGACGATGACTGCGTTAATTGAATGCAAAACGGCTGTCAAATGTATTACAATTTTGTATTAACAATTTGCAAGTCGCTCGGTTTATATTATACCGATTTAAATATGTTTAAACGTGTTTATTTGGCATTTCTGCTACTTGCTACAATTGGTTTGATGGTTAGAGATGTGCTTTACTTTTACTCGCGCCCTACGAAAATAGCTCAATCTGCAGCATACAGCTTGTACTACATGGGAGAGCTTATGTCCTGTTTTGCAGTGCTATCTGGTTTGATTGTTGCATTATTTTACAGATGCCAGCTAATTGAATTGCATCAAATAGTAGACGAATGGAACAGAAAATTTGTTACACAACGCATGGATATACTGGATTACAGTAAATTTGCTGCCGTGCACGTCTTTGAGACCCTTCTTACATTACACTATTGCACTGATACTTTAAATTATATTGATCTAGGACTCGTGCAAATAATACTCACCTCTTTTGTTTGGTTTCTGACCCTGGAAATATATTTTGTCAATTTATTAATGTACCTGAAAATTCTGTCTATTTTACGATTGGCGACATCAAATATCAAAACTAATATTATGGAGTTCTGTAATTTAATATCAAAATATAATTTAATCAAACAGGAACAACCATTTTCAGTAGAAATCAATAAATGTTCTAAAGAATGGCATTCGATCATAAAGGCAATACATTTATTAAATCAAACTTACGGTTTGACAATGGTTCCTATTTCACTTTCTATACTATTTAGAGTGGTTAAAGATCTACTGGAGGAGTATATTTTTAGTTTAACAGCTGCCCGAATATATTCCCAAATAGCGCTGGGTAATGCGCTATTTACCCTCTTATTATTGGTAAGTAATTGGATTTGCGCTTGATTTAGCACTATTTTTAATCATAACAAATATACAACAAACCTACTCCTTTAATAATCTAAATCGATTGCTCTAACATCCATATCTGCTACAATGTCGATAAAAGCTATATTACGTGTTTCCAAATTTCTCCGATTGTACTCGTGCAATAAGGAAAATTACCAAGATTTTTCTTCAATTTGTGTACTGTTGATTGTACTAACGCTAAGTTTCTTATGTTTTTGTGGAGTTATAAATGATCATAGAAAAACTGTATATGCTTCAGTACTATTCTATCTGAAATTAACATGTGAAACTTTCAGAATAATGACCGTTATGTTCGCTATATATTCTGCCTCATTTCACAACAAAACATACTTGATTAAAATGCATAAGGCATTGGAAAACCTTTCTAGAGAACTGAAAGTCAACTGTGAAGAGCGGCTACTGAAATATTATATTTGTAGCCAAATTTACGCTGTAATAATATTGTTGTACCAATCGTTGAACATTGTTAGTTTTAGTTTAACGGGTTTATTAATGTTAATTTCTATGATTTTGTTGTTACAAATGATAGTATTGTGTGTATTCCTCCACAACTCGATATTACTGCAGGTAATTTTATGCACTAGAGCTTTAAAACAACGAATAGAAGACACTAGCAGAAAAATTATTCATTACAATTCACAAAAAAGGCATCATCCGTTTGGTCTAGACGTGAAAAAACTTTTTCAAATTTACCACGACATTTTGGAGATAATAATGTTATTCGAAAGAACAAACGGTAATAAACTGATGTTTATATTAGGGTTTTACGTTTGTTCAACATTATCTAAATTGCATGAAGAGATTGTTTTTAGCATTTTTATGCAAAATGGACCTACATCCATTCGTGGCCCCGTTCTTATATTTAATTCGGCATTTGAATTCACTAATATAGTAAGTACTCTACAAGCCGACAAGCAGAAATTTGTTAGATATTTGTTATGAAAGGCTGTTTAATGAAATGTTGACATTGGTAAAAAGTTAAGTATTTTATTTTCCAGATTTTTTCGATTTCCATAATATCTTCGTGCGCGAAATTGACGACGGAATTGAAAAATGTAGCGCTGGCGAGTTTCGAGATGTTCCAAAAATTGCCCTTCGAGACTCATTATGCCGAACACGATTCTATCTATCAGGATATAATCGTATTTGAAAGATTCGTGCACAAATCCGTAATTTTGACGGCTGGAGGATATTTCGTCATCGATTCCTCGTTAGCTTTCAAAATGCTGGGGACTATAATTTCGTATTTAATCATCTGCTTGGGTTTCGATAAGGAGTTGATACAAAGATTTATGTCCAACAAAATCAGTATTGACGATCAATAAATTGTGTAGTCCACTGTGACAAATAAATTATTTAAACTGATTTAAGTTGTAAAATTATTTTCAATTATTGGAATTGGTCAAATCTCTCGAGAGGACGAGTAAATCCAATCTAATAAATTTTTTATTACTTAATCAATGGAACAATTTCGAAGTAATGAAATATTGTTGCTCAAACATCGAAATGGATAAGATATCGTGTATGTGGGTCACATTGACTTATCTAAACTACCCTCTTTTATTGTTTGGTTTGTATTTACCCCTAAAATCCTGTTACAAAGACGAAGAACGAAGAAAAATCAGCGGTTTTGTGCTCTGCATTGTGTTATGCGCTATTTTCTTATCTACGAGAAGAAAATATGATACGATTAAGGAGGAACCAGCCTGGCGTCTCAATATATTGGCACTATTAATATCAGGATGCGCTTGTAGCTGTGTCATCTCAGTAAGATATTTCAAATTTTATAAATTTAATAAGCTTTTCGCCAAATTAAAAGCTATTAATTCTTACAAAGTCAATAGTGTTGTGAGGAGGGAAGAAATAATGATTTTATTAAAATTAAATTCGTTTTTAATGATCAAGAGCTGCTTGTTTTTGCTGCTAATATTGTGTGATGTTACAATAAATATGTACTGGAATTACGACAAACAAGTAATTTATTACATCGTACCGTTCGTTCTTATGGAAACTATACTATTTTTTGAATATCTAACAGTCGCTGTAATGCTATTATTGCTAGAAGAAACAGCAAGATGGTTTACAATTTCACTGGAAAAATACTATTCTGAGTACTATAAAGTACCGCCAGCTGATATTAAAAGAACAGAAGACGGGAATTTCATCCTGACTGGTTGGATATCAATGGCTCTAAGTTATAATAACGACAAAAATCAAGCACAACTCATCAGAGATTTGATGTCGACCATATTCCAATTTAAAAGCCTTTTGAATGCGTTTAATCAAACGTTTTTTATATCTACTATGGCCTTCGTAATTACGTTCCTATTCAAATTCACTGACGTCGTAACAAGAGGGTTACTTATTAAAAGTTTTGATGAAAATGTTGTTGTAGGAGTTGATCTGCTAATGTTGATTTTCTGGGCAGTAAGTAATGTAATTTTAGTAAAAAAATTTCACATAAAAACTAGTAAAAAATATTTCAGATCTGCATACTGGACGTTAATCGAAAAAGTAGAAGTATTTCAATAAAAATGCAAAGTTTAGGAAAAACTGCATACAAATTATACGTTCACATGCCTTCATCAGTTTTTCTAGACGAAGAAATTGCTATAAAGAATGCGTTATTTTTTATACAAAAAATCGTTCTTGAAAATGACTTTATCGTAAACTCATTTAGTAGAGTACCGCCTGGAAATGATTCTATAAGTCCCTTTGTGTTCTTCTTGTTTTTGTTGTTTCAAATAATATTTTTGATTTTCGAACAAAGGAAGTAATCAATTAAAACGGTCTCGGTTTCGCTTGGAAGAATCCTGTCCTTAATTTGATTAGTACCAAAACCATCCGTTGAAAAATAACTGGGCATTTTAACAATACAATTCGTTCGGCCGGTATAGATACGTGCTTGGAGGCAATCCTAAGGCACATACGGTATAATAAGTACAAATCATGAAACCGTTAATTTTAAATCAACCCATATTCGTTGTAGCCAATTTTTTTTGTTTGATACATGATTTTAATAATAACAAATTCAATAAAAGATCCTTATTTCAACACCATTATCGATCGATTCTAATGATTGTTTTCATTATTTGCGTGACAATATGGAATATGTACTGTAGAATTTTATGGTACTACGCAACATTGGATGGGACAACTTTCACAGATGGTTTGATGTATATATTTTTAAGTTTGGTATGCCTTTCCTTCGTCACTAAAAGTTACTACTTTCATTCAAGCGATTGGAAACTGATTTTCGAAGCTTTAAACTTTCGTTTCCCTAATGAAAAGAAACATAATTTACTACACCAAAGATTGCTCTTTGCAATTACGCACGGAATTTTCTTAATTTACTGTGTTCTGCAACTAACAGTATACACCATATCCTCTTCCCAAGTTGGTAACGTACTAATACCAGTTTACATCCACTCTTATTTCGTGATTCTCACTATTCTAATAATAAACGCTTTGGTCGATGCGTTCGCATTCAAATTGACAAGCCTCCGACAATTTTTGTTATCCGAAAGGTCGCATTTCCGAAAAATGGCAGTTCTGGAAACGAATCCCCATCTCGTGCTCAAGAATCATTCGGGTAGCAGGCACTTTAACTGTTTATGTTCGCTGCTGAAGGGAATTTCGGCGTTCAACAATATATACGGCTTGCAAATGTTGGGTATCAGCGGAGTGATATTGCTATTTGTCAGCGATAACCTAAAATTGATCATATACGAATACGTTTTCAACATCAGCGCCAGAGAAGAGGACCAAGTGTTCAATCTTAGGATCACGATGTTCAAATTCTGGAATGGCTGCAATATAATAGCGAGTAGTTTGTTATAAAATTTGCATCTTTACTAAAATTTGTACGTTCTAGGCGTTTTTGATATTGATGATAAATCCCTGTTCACGCGCTTCAATTCTACTAGATGAGATCCAAATAGCTTATTTTAAGATTCTAGTGGAACTTCCGCATGGAATTGATGATGATTTCCTCAAAATTTATAAGGAGACTATTATATTAGCTACTAGAGAACTGGAGTTGCGGAAACCCTTTTTTACTGCTTCAGGTTTTTTTGAGATAGATTATGGTTTATTAACTTACATTTTTAGTGGTGTAATTACTTTTATTGTTGTGTATGTGCAATTAAGATAGGTTATAAAAATAACAGAAAGCACCAATTGTGAATCGTACGCATACATGTTGTATCGGAAATATTAAAATCTTCTGAAGGCCAAAAAAACATATTTTTCACCTACTAGAGTTTATTGAAATTTAATTTGAAAATCGTGCGATTTTCAATATACTAACATATTACCTCAATTACCTATACATTTTTTCACGCTGCATTTAAAATAAATTTAAAATGTTTATGAATAAACAACAAAATCCCCGTTATAATTTTTTTTTGTTCTATGTTTTAATTTCAATAGTATTGATACCAAAAGAATTAAAAAAAATACACAACAATTTCTCAAAACTGTAACAACGTTTTTAGCGAAGTTTACGGCCCCAGCGATTAAATATTTCACGAACTAATGACCACCTATCAACTGCTTAAAATTCTATGACACGGAAAGCCATAAAATAACCCCGCGAGATGCAAAGTAGGTGTCGAACAAAGGAGCTACAATTATTTAGTATTTTTTTATATTGAGAAAACGTGAGTTTTAACAAGGCCGACGTTTCTGCAGAGGCGGACTTCTTCCTCAAAACCACTAATGGACCAAAGGACCAAACATCATTAAAAAACTGGCTAAAAAGGAACTTAAAAATATATAAAGAACAGCATATAACAGGATTATCTAAGGTTATAAATAAGGCACAAAACGTAAAATATAGATACGAAAGTTTTGTAGGAAATTTCAGTTTAATCCAGCTAAAAGAAGTAAAGCCATAATTTAATGGAGAAAAAAACTATCATACCATCAAAAATAAGCTGCAACATAATTTAATAATTACAAACTTTTAAATCACTTACCTTGGTTTAAAAGATTACCTAATATATTATTTATTATAACAAATTATTCAACACTAATTTGTAATATTTAAAATAAATGGAACCAGGATAAAAGTACGTCGTATACGGTCCTGGTTTACGGAGCGACGCTCCTGGCCCTGATTTCGGTAGGTATATAGATTATTTTTTGTGGGGTCGCTCTCATTCGGCAGAAGCCCGAGAGACAGCTTTATATTTTGCAGAAAAGGATTTTGCGTTTTGTGAGAATGGTGGCCCAGTCTCTGCTGGTGGTCGCGGTCCTCGCGGTGGTCAGCATTACCGTTTGTGCCGAACCTGCGCCCTTCTTTTGGGTACGTATATATTTTTTTAATTGATTTATTTCGTCGATCTCCTACATGTCATATTTATGTGCTTGTTTTCGTCTATTGGAAAACGGTCTTGATTATATAACAAACCATAAACTATATAAAACAATATGAAAAAAAAACAATAATAATTTAAAAATATGTTTAAAATTTATTAAAAAAAACTTCAGAATTATGTTATGTAAATAGTATAGCACTACAATTAAAATATAATATTTTAACAAGAATTTACTACAAGAACAGAAAAACAACAAGATGCGTCCGATATTTATACGAAATCACTTGCTTTTTGCTCTAATATTTCTATTACTCAAATAAAAATGTATTATTCTGCAATTATTATTTTATTGAAGGATATTCATTTTATTTTTAGTACGACTATTCAGAGGAGTCATCAGAAGAAGAGGATACTAAGCAACTTATAATATATTTAAACATCACAGATGTAAATTCTGAAAAAGGATTCGCTATAAAACCCGTGAATCAACAGATACCAATAAATATCCCCGTTAATCCAGGACAGGGTGAAAATAATGGTGTAGAACCACTCACAATACCCATTGAATTAACGCTAAATGGCGCCAAATAAGAAACCGAATTACATTTGTTCGTTTTTGAAAAAAAAAACTTGATGTATTTATATTTGTACTTATAATTTTTGATAAATAACTGTATAACCTATTAACTAAAAACATGTAATTTATATTTAAAAATAACTTCTTATAGATGTATTTTTCAATTACCTATCTATGCACTTCTTCTTAATACCTTCTTAAAACGCATATTACTTTGATATGATTTCAACACATGTTAGGTTGGTATATTGTGCATTTAATTACGCCTACATTTTACTCGTTAAAACTTGATTTAATTATTACCGATAAAATTTGAGATTCTTGCAAGTCTAAAAAGAGACGCCGAAGAGTTTACCAATCACCCCTTTGATGAGTCGGATAATATCTTAGAAAATTAACAAAAATAAGAATTTCGCTGAAAATATCGACTTTTGGTGTAACAAAAACGGAAATATTAATGCTAAGTGAAGATCTAACTAACTTCCCGAAAACAATCCGATAAAATTAGGAAGCTATATTTCTAAACTAAACTAAGTTTATTCGTGTTCTCTAAAAATAAGTTTTGAGGAGAAAAAAATCTCTTAAATTAGATCTACATCAAAAGTTGGTAGTATGAAGCAACAAAAATAGGCCAGGTGATGGAGCGATACATCAAACCAACTCATGTTAACATTCCTAGGGTCCAATTAATAAAATAATAGCCAATGTAAGCAACCTTGCATTAAAATTAAATACGACATTCCAGAAATCAGCAAAACCCATGACCTGCAAAACTTCCAGCGGCTTCCATGCCTGCCTATAGTGAATTCACAAATTTCATATCAGTGCAACTCTATTTATCGACGCAAAATCCCCGGACTCTGATTCACTTCTCTCCGAAGAAGCGCACCTCATTCAACACAGCGGCTAAACGCCGCTAATCAGCCGGTGCGCTGCCACAGTTCAAGCGACTTGCCACTTACCATTTGCCACTTACCGTCAGCGATCGGCCATCGGACCATTCCATCAGTATCAGTACCTTTACAGATGTGATCGGTCTTGGAGGGCAGCGCTCGCGCCGAGATGTCGCTGTCTGTGTCGGCCGGAGTCCGGCGGATCGCGGTGAGCTTGGGCGCCCTGGTCGTCGCGGCGAGCGTCCTGCAAGGCACCTTCGGCAAGCTGAGGTCCTGGTACGGGCGGCAGGAGCCGCTGGTTGTCGCCAGGTGCGAGATTCGGTGCTGGAACGAGGACGAAAGAAATTTGGTAATATAGATTTATTTCACTTTTTACTGCTTACATAGAGTTGTTTAGAATGAGTAATTAGATTAGTAGAATAAATAATCCACAGGTTCTCACTATTTTACAGAAATTATATATTATTTTATTTGTAACCAATTACTCTTCTATTAACTTTGTAGTATGCATCCATGCGAGTCTAATTATTTTAAATTGTAATTTATATTGTATTTGATCCCAGGCTTAAAAGCATGCTTAGAAATTTGCAAATATCATTAAATGTATCTCTAAAATGCGAATCAATTGTTTACGAAATTGTTGTGCACTTTTCTACCAGCGCCAAAATACGTGAATACTGAATTTCATAATAAATCAAATGAACAACGTGACTTCAACAGAATCTCCCAGAAGTTTTATAAACAAATTGCTGATTTACTGCAACTTAACACGCTGAAATTCGCTTAACTGCAATATCGATTTACATCTTTCAAATGTAATTTACTCAAACATTTACGGTAACCAAAATGTTCGTAGAAATGCCCCTTAAATTTCGTTGGTGTTGTTTTACATAGCGCATAGCGTATTTCCTTTCAAGATTTTTACTATTTAGATTTATCAAGAAACAGCAATATAATTATCAATTATAAGCATATTAAAAAGATCTACAAATTTTAAGGATAACTTTGCAGTTGCTAATCCGAAAATACATATATCTTTAAGCTCTATTAGAATTATTTTTAAGATTATAACTCTTCTATTTTATGAATCGACAACATTAGTTAACATACATACATAAATATAAATTTCAGTAAAAATACTACGAATATTTCGTGGGAGATCAACAATATTCATATCACAGTGACCTATATTTTAAAATCTACTCTTACATTTAAATAGACTTCCCGGTATATTTTAACATAACTTAGTTGCAATAACCATACTTACGAATAATTCAAAAGATAAGAATAATTCAGATAAAATGTAGTAGGTAAATAGATTTTTTTATACACAAACTTACAATACTTACCAGAAAATGTAAAGAAAAAATTCAAAAATGAAAGAAATTAGTGGATAAACTTGGATCACAACGAAAAACTCAAGCAAAAGTTTCGGGCCTTTTCAGCCCCGTAACCACCTAGATCATGGGATCCTCTGTAATTTAGTAACATATTTAATATAACTACATTAATAATTAATATTCTAATTTCATTATTTAAAAAGTCATACAGTTCAGGTCGGGCATTTTTTAACCATTCATTTGAATAGAAATAAAAATCTTGACGAAGATTACATATGTAAATGACTTCGAATACAACACAACTAACTAAAGAAAGGAGTGACTTTAGAATAATTTTGAATAAATTGGGACGTACTTGATGCGAATGTTGTTCAAGAAGATTTAAAGCGGATATTAAAAATTTTATAACAGTTATAGATATAACAGCTAAACACACCCCCATTGTATAATGCGTGATAAGATACCGGGTGTAAGTATATTTTCGTGTACTAATGTGAACATTACACCCACAATTGAAAAAAAAATATGAATGATCATCTATGATTCTGATATGATGGTTATATCCACGAATGATTTTATAGATTAATATATAAGATATGTGTAGTCTATATTTGCATTAAGAACAATTTCGATTATACCCGAGCGGATTTTAAATATTAATTATTTTAACCCAAAATTACTAATACTTACCACATAAAAAAATAAATAAACATTAATAACTCCTCATATAAAAGCCTGTAATTTAATATCATAATTTTTATCGAAACGATGTATGATTATAATGCAAAACTGGTTAAGTTTTCGACGCTAGGTAGTTACCAATTATAATTTTTTAACATATAAATTTAATGTTATCATAATTTATTATTATTGCTCTTATTTTTTTCCAACATTGACTAAGACCGTCGGGAACAAAGAGAATTTACTCATAATGAATTTATTAGTAATAACAGGAATGGATGACGTTACAAAAATCGAAATCGAAGGCAGATGTAACGTTATTATTGCAAGATTTATTAGGAAGATACCGTTGAATGTGAAGGTGGATTTTTTTTCTCTGTAGTAGGTACATGATCCTTTCCAGTTCGTCTTTGTAAATGATTCTTTTGCCTTTTCTTTTAATTACAATCGTTAATTCTTCCGGTTTATGTTTTCTTATAGTATGTCGTATGCAAAGAATTTTGTGATTGTTCTACAATTCTTCAATTACTCCTTTGCTCTTCTTAAATTCTTCGTTTTAAATTTCCTTCTATTGCCTATACACAACGAGGTGTGCCCGAAGAAGTCGCATAAAATTTTTGAGGAATCACCGTCGGTCAGCCGAGAGGAGGATTAGAGGAGCAGCAATTTATAAAGATTTATAGTAAAGTGATGGAAAGAAATTACTTAAGAAGGATATATTGTTACGGAACATGGGATGCAGTCTTTCCATTTATAAAAGACGCGTATACGCGCCTCTACTCAGTAAATAAACAACGGTTTGAAGTCGCATTACTTATAGGAAAGTTGTAAAATTTCTATTAGCAATTCGTGACATATGGTTGAATTTGCACCAGCTAGCACAAAAACTTACCTTATTGCTCGTTTCTGTGATATACCCATTAATCGTGAAAATTATCATTGATTTATTGGATTAGAATGTTAGGTACTATAATTCAAAGAATCTTTTATTTTTAGTGCGTTAAGAATTGTCTACAACAAGGGCTCGAAAAACCTGGTAGTTGTCCTACTAAGGACATTTCTCCATTCACACAGGTTTGCATACAGTCCTGCGAAAAGGACTCACAATGTTCAGGAGTGTTGAAGTGCTGCCAACATAGCTGCGGGGTTACTTGTCAAACACCTGTGAATTTGGACTTCGTAATAGGTTAGTGACTTTTTTCATTAAGTACCATAATTGCTCAAAATCAATTTCTCATGAAAGAACGGCCATAAAGCAGCATTAAAACTGTTCATTGATACTTTGTTTAGGTATCTACATTTTAAATTTGAATAGCGCTAATTACAGGTCTACTCGAAAAAAACTCCAATTCCCATACATTTTAAGTCATAAAATCGTTAAAATTATTACGAGAATCTCTAAGAATTTATGATAGCTTTAAGATGGAAACTGGTAGAGCATAACGACAGTTTACCTACTTGATTCGCAAAAAACTATACTACAAGTGAATTTCTATGAAAATTTAATTAAAAAAGTCGATATTTTATAGGTAGATATTCTAAGTTAAATAAAATTCTGCTACCATTTCATTCCATCTCTTCCATGCTATTGGAGCAAAGCGGATTTTTTAACGTCGTGTAGGTACTTATTTTGTTGAATGCGGACATAATGACTAAAAGATGACAACGCCCCTGAATCTGTATATCTCATTGATTCTTAACAAGCTAATGAAACTGGTTTAGATATCGAAATTATGGCCCACTTTTTCAGTCGTGCATCTCTCTACTGAATGCTAATTGGACCACCAACATTCGACAAAAATGATTGATTATATAAGAATATCAGATGATCAATAAGAATTGCAACGATATCATTAAATGCAATGGAGATGCATCGTTTCAAAATTGTCCAAAATTTCGTTATTTTATATAATGTAAATAGATTCTAATATTGTTTTGGGGAAAGATTTTTATTTTGCAAGTTTTACAGTAAATTAATTGGTTAATTACCATCAAAAGTAGATAAAAATTGTTACATATCTTGTTCAAATCCAAATATGCAGACTTGCAAAACCAGTTGTTTGTAGAACAATTCTATAAGATATAATATGTAATGGTGTGAATAAATACTTTTTTTTAGTAAATTTATTCTTAGCTCGGTTAATTATTTGTTAAATGCAAATGTCCCGTAACGTTAATGTTGATTTACTTCTTTGCACCTATTGAGAATCTACACGTGGAAAATAATTCATCAGCTTTTAAATCAGGCTTATTATTATAAATGTGCCGGCATTTCCTACAAATTCACAATGATTGAACATTCCTAAGGATTGCCAAATACACCGCGAGAACCAAGAGTGGTCGAAGGCCGTCGCAAGCGAACAGTCCACATAGAATGGTCTTCATTAGACGAAGCTTACACCAACCCCGCAGAAGCCAAACTGCTCTATCTCATTGAAGAACGCCACCACCTCGGTAAATATTTCAATTCTAATCTTCTGACGGATTGGAGCGCGTGTTCAAAGTCATTAAAGAAAAACCGTCTGTTGAAGCATCTTGTGAAACCCGGAAGGTGGTACCAATTCAGGGTAGCGGCGATCAACGAAAACGGAACGAGAGGTTATTCGGAAAGTTCGTTACCGTTTAGGATAACAGCAAGTAACTTTGGATATTTAATTAAAGAACGAGTTTAATTCGGGTCGATGTTCGCAGGTCCTAAACCGCCGAAGGCTCCTCAAAATGTCACTGTGGGGCCTTTGATAAAATTCAATGGGACTCTGCACGCTCTGCTGAAATGGTCACCTCCGGAATCTGATCTTCCCATACAAAAATACAAGGTGTTCTGGAGCAGAAGGCTGCACGGAGCTAAAGCTTTGGATTCTGTACTAGTGCATCAGCAAATCCTGCCTAAGGTAAGAAAAAAGTAAAACCGTATTTATGGATTTTAATAAAAAGCTTATGAAGAAGAATTAAGTTATATTTATCGTATTTTATCGTAATTTATCGTACAAGTGCGTTTATAAACAATTGCTGGGTATAAATTCGGTTCAATTTGAAAAAGATTCGGTTTGAAAATCTATCACACATTCACATGCCACTCCAACTGGGAACGTTTCGGCCATCCAAACGTTTCTTAGAGCTTTGGGCAACGATGACGACGATATCGCGTCCTCGCCATCTTTGAACTCTTTCTTACGCAGCACTTTTACGTAGTACTTCTTCTCGACGCATTGGTAATACTTTTCGCACGAATTCGGTTGGCAGAATCCGGCGTGGAGATACCTAAATTCAAGCGAATATTCGCGATATACGGGATATTTGTACATTAAAATTGCTTACCTAGGGTAATAGGCGCGTCCTAAATCCACTGGTCGAAAGCTCATTTCGCAGTTACACCGATTGTGGTTGGTGGTTTTATAAATTGGAAGTAACGCTGAATTTAACTGAAGAAAAATGTTTGGTGATACTAAACGTAGAAGAGTGGTGCTGAATAATTCTCTTACCATGTTGTTATGGAATCTTTTAGGCCCGTCCGGGCTAGAAGTTGTCGTTTCGATCCGTTTATTCTTATTTATAAATTTTTGCTCGTACGTATCTAAATCGTCGTAAAGTTGATTATTATCAGCATTTTCATCAATCCACATGTAGCTAAATGCGTTACTTAAGTGCAACAGTAGGAACAGTAACACATTTAGATATTTCTGCAATTGTACATACTAAATTAGTACTAACGACTAAATTGCCGGAACTTTGAAAAATCAAATTGAATATTATCGCGAAAATGAGAACTCTTACCTTCATTGAGCAATGCACCATGGCGAATTACTAAATGGCCCTCCATCCATCCCGAGCTACTTTATATAAGTTTCCAAGAACAATGGTACACTGGAGATCGAGCTATAGAGTTACACTCTCTTAGTCTTGAATAAAGCGGTAATGGATGTTTAGCAGATATGTTATTTTGATGCACAAATCATGGAAGCATTAACATTGACATTGGATAGTGAAGCTTTTCAAAGGATGTGGGGGTCATTCAGAAAATATCGATAAATATTTCTATTTCGGAACGCGTTAATTGAATTTTGATAATAAACAAGAATACGTATGAAACAGCCGATATTAAAGATAATTGTTATGTTAAATTAATAAGGTATATAAACTTTTGAAGTTTTAAAACTCACCGTTCGTAATATTCTAAAGTAAAAAATAATTGAACAGCTAAAATTAGCAAATACATTAATCCCGGTGTAAAATCGCTACACGTTGAAGAAGCCATTATTACACAACCGGCCTTTCTCATGTAAGAGCGCTAAAAAACAAATTAGTATTTTCAGCAAAAGACCGACTTGTTAAAAGTAATAAATGTTGGGCGGTAAAATTAACTGTCAATACATTCTCGACGGCTTCATTACAGGATGCGACGGAATTTCTGCTGCAAGACCTCCAACCTAAATCCCAGTATTTCTTGCAAGTGCAGGGATTCCTGCAGTACGGCAAAGAGCGGCTCAAAGGGGAAAAATCGGGTTTAGTTCTAAACACCACGGATTTCATCAGCGGTATGTATTTAATTGTAAAATTGATCAAAACAATTAGAAACAACAGGTTATTGATAAATACTTTTCATTTTACAAGCCTTTTATGTAATGTATATTACATAATATCCATATAAGTAATAGTCTAATTGAGCATTATTATTATAGAAAATGACAACACCTTAACAATGAATCAATGGAATAGTAACAAAATCAACGGATTGAGACTTTTAAAGCTGATGTACAACAGGGGAAGTTTAAAAGCGAGATTGGTGTGGAAACCTTCCACTCCATTATCCAAATACACAGTCACTTGCTGGTCGAATCCGTGCGATGGGAAAATGAACGCATTTAAACATTTCAAATTCGTCGCTGTAACAAAGGTGACAAAATTCCCAGCAAGACTTTACAAATTTTTGTTTATAATTTTTATTTGTAGAGCGCGCACTTTGATTTGGTAGATTTGCAATTCAATTACCGGTACAAAGTGAGCGTGAAGAAACTGATACCGAATGGAAGGAAGGCCACTGAAAATACTTTTGTGACGTTCTCTACGCCCAAGTGCAGCAATTTCAAACGGAACTACAGGAAGTTAAAGTGTTAATTTTTGTTAGTTTTTAAAGGAATACTTTTTGTGATAATTGTGGAGTTTTTTAATAAGATAATTATTCATCTGAAGTTTTCCTTTTTGATTATTTACCTGAATAGCGTGAATATAAGCTAGATATATGGGAAAGTGCAAATTTGTTTGCAATGTTGGTCAATTCTATGAGTTGTACAAGGAAAGATAAATAAAATAACAGGTTAGAGTGAGAAAGGTGCAGCTGCACTCACACAATATTTTCTTTTATATGAGACTTATCGAAGTTCTCTTTGTGGTATATCGCAAATCATTTTGCATCTACTAGTATGTTTAAAATAATTAATCGACACCTTCCATTGATATATTTGTAAAACTAATGTTTTGATTGGTCAAAAGTTTTTTTTTACCATAGGGTTTTTTATATTTTATAAATTTTAGTTGCTTAACATGTTTATTGATTATGTCATATGTCAATATTTGACGTATCGCGCTGTGTTTATGAAATGTTCTAAAAACATCTAAAAAAACCGTTTTAAATAACAAAAATAAAGATAGTAAGTATTATATTTAAAGTTCTTAACGATTTTTTATTAAAAATAATTACTATAAAGTATAAAAATCAAATTATACTCGTAAAAGTAACATAATAACCATAATATTTTTCTAGGTAAAAAGTTTACATTAGAATGAGCAAGCCGGTGCAAAATATGCAAGGAAGGTGTTTAATTCAAGCAGAAAAGCATAGTCATTTACTTAATCACGGGTTATGTTCCTTATTAGAACACCAGAGTTTAGTGGATATAGCTGTATGTTGCGGGAACAACATATTACTAGCTCATAAAGTCGTTTTAGCAGCTAACAGTTTGTACTTGAAGGTAAGTTTATTTTCATTGAACTCCATTGCTCTAATATTATGGATTTAGGAAAAACTCGAGCAAAATCCGACCGTCGAGCAAGTAGTATTTTCCGGTACAGAATTCACTGTAATTCGCTCATTGATTGAATTCATGTATTGCGGTGAAACTTACATTAGCGAAGAATTGATCAAGTACCTCGTAGCTTTCGGAAGAATGCTACAAATCGATATCCTGGGAAACTTAGCTAACGATCGTAATTTTTCAGGTAACTTCAACTTATATCCTTTCCAAAATTCTCCTTGCGTTTATCACACTCCTACTATTCGATAACAAATCAATGACTTCCTCTCACCATTCCATTAAACATTTCAGACAATTTTATCGAATTGCCACAGCCCCAGTTCCTCGTCAAGAAACCGAAATATCCCACATTCCCGCTAAGCGCGCCCGGCTCGCCCTCCTCCTGCACCACGCCTTTGAAACCCGGAACGAGCAACAACGTCGTGTACAAGCCGCCCAAAAAGCGCAAGGGGCGCGACGAGGCCGAGCACCAGGCCTGCCTCAAGGAGGCCCTGGCCAGCAGGAAAGCCATAGCTAACCTGAAGAAGGAGATCGGGATCACCCCGCACGCTAGCACCTTCGTTATCGAAGACACTTGCACGGAGACGACGGTCGAAAATTTCATACCGAATCCCGGCGATACGGGCATCGTTAAATTAGACATGAACGGGCAGTTGGTGCCCGTCGATAATCAGCATTTCTCTTCGGAGATGGGCAAACCGAACGTGATCCAGTTGACGCTGCCTAACGGTGAGCAGAATTGGACAGCGGACAAAATTAAGCAGATTTTAGGCAATCAGGCTAACCCGAATGTGGAAATTATATTTAGGAATAATGACGGAAATTTTGTTACAGTGACTGACGATGTGTTACAGAACTTGCAGAAAGACGGTAAGTGCGCTTACGAACACTCAACAAACGAATAATCCTTTAAATGCTTTTTAAGGTTTGCAATATCAAGTTATAGACGAAGAAGGGAGGTTGGGAGAGGTACAAGAATTGCAATTTTCCAATAGAGAACAACAGGAAAAGTGCTCAAAACCGAGCATAGAAGAGCCAGTGCATTTCTTCAATCAGTCGAAACTTGGGGAACTGCAGTCGATTAACGATCTGCCTCACACAATTATTTTGCCATTGATGTCTAACGAGAACGAACTCATGCGGGACGTGAAGCCCGCACAAGATTTTGAGGTAGCGCATTTCTTTCAAAATCCCAAAATCGAAGCCGAAGACGATTGCATCAATATAACTGAAAATATGTTGCTGGAACACAATAAATTCTCGCCGGATATTTTCTTTGCGGAAACTAGCGATACCAGCTGTAATAGGGATATCAAGAGAGATTTGAATTGTTAGACAAATTAAATGTTTATTGTTAAGTTGTATTGTTTGTTCCGAAATGGATGCAAGAGTAAGTGTAATTGCAAAAAAATTGAGTTGAACATTCTTGGCATTCTTCATCATTTTCTTCGGTCTGAATGAAATTGGTCATGTGTTTATGTTTTGTAGAATTTTGTATTGATTGTATAACATTCAACTTAAGGTAAATGATTTTAATTCACTCTAGAAGCTTTCATCAATATTTTGTGTGTACCTCGTAAACCTCGTAGAGAAGTTTTTTAGCAATCATTCAATTTTTGTTAACTGATGATTTGAAATTATTGGTTTAAGAATAAGACTATGCTCAAACATTTTGGATTGTAATAATTGTTACGCAGGATAAAATAATTTGTTATTAATATATGGAATTTAGAAATAATGTTTGATTTTCATTTTGTAATTGAGGTTCGTATTTATTTGAGAATATACATTTCTTTGCCTTTATACAAATGATTGTTTTCTAGAATTTAGTCATACAGCTAATTTCTTGTAGGCTTTTAAAATGGGTAAAGTTGATCTTATGGGTGTGTAAGTTGCAGAATCTGAAGTGCATTTTCACATTCTCTCTAAATTACTTTTAAAATTACAGTATGTAATTAGTTCAAAAATATGTGTTTTATATACCTATAAAAAATTAGCTGCGTATTTATAATTTACAATTTGATATATTCTAGAGATCGTATATCAATATAAAACAGATATACACAAAATAGCACTTTATTGTTCACAATAATATCGAAATAATTTTTACAAATATCACTGTTGCAGAACTTTTACTTTTAAATTCTTACAGTCTGGTTAGCGATGATTGTTAATAAAAATTCTGCAACTATAAGTACTTTTTCGGAACTCAAATATTGACACTTCCACTTTTATTGTACAAAATACATTCATGATATATCTATTACATTTGGCACAACATCATTTAAAAGTATAACACACGAGTTTACAAAAAAAATTGAATGGGTTTTGTTCGTTAATACGAAAATTAATTTTTACAAGTACATTATATAAAAGTTATTAATTTAATCAGGACAATCAACAATTAATGTGATTAATGAAGTAAATAAACCCGATAAACGTTTTTCTAAAAGATGAAAAATCTCGAGAAAAACGTTTATTACAAATAAAGCGAACCCACTCCCCTTAAAAAATTAACGTTCAATTAAAAAATATAAAGAGAGCATTTCAGAGAATGCGGAATAATTTTCCACAGCCTTTAAAAAGGGATATTAAAATATGAGGAGCCTGCGAATTTGTCAGTCATCTGAAAACAGGAATTCGCTTTCAGATAACAGTACTTCAAGATCAGATTGGACGGTATGGATATTGGAATCAATGTTGGAATTAACAGCGTTATCGGCGGTTTCCACCGCCGCAGCGCCGGTTTCCTTCGGAGCCGATACGGTAGGAGGCTTCTCGGTTTCTTTCACTGTACGCACCAGCACGCCTGATCTCGGAGCTTTGTCCAGTTTTCGAACGGCGTCCGGAACGCGCTCGATTATCACACTAGTCTTCTCGGGTTTCCTTAATTTAACACTAAATTTAAACGGAGGTTTGTACACCACTTGCAAACGAACTTTCTCTTTCTCGTTCGGAATGTTCCCCACGCTGCGCGACTTGCTCTTGTCCGTCCGAGGTCTGATCGTCGGGCGCTTGTGCGGGCTCCTTCTGGTCTTATCAGTAAGTCCCACTGGCGTGGATTTGGATTTTGGCAAGGCGTACTGCGACTTGAGCAGCCAGTTTTGGACCTTTCCCACGGGATCCGATTCGGGCGTTAGAGGCGTGATGATCACGTCGGATCCGGCCAGTCCCTTCTTACCGTCCAAATCGGCTTGAATACTGCTGTAGTCGATTATCTCGTTTTTCTTCTTCTTTTTGGCCGGTTTGGTCTGCGAAGGCTTCTTCACCTTGTTGCTTGGCACATCGAAGATTTTCGCGTCGACGGGCTTGGCCTTCACCTCTTCGGCGCCCACCGCCGCCGATACGCGCTTCTTCTTCTTCGGCGATATTTTCACCTTGTTCGGGCTGTTGAGGTTGTTGTTGATGGATTCGATTTTGCTCTTTCGCTTCCGCTTCGTCTTGCCGTCTCTGACTTTCCTTTTCAGGGGCAATTTCGAGCGCACGCCCGGGTGGATGGTCACCCCTTCGCCGTCGGGTGGCAAACGGACGGCTTCCGTTGAAGATTTGTGGATGACTGTCACCGATTTCAATTTGAAATTCGGCTTTTTGCTCAGATATTTCGTGCTCACCACCTAAATCATACATTTAATTAATCATTTAGAAACCGAATAATTCTGTACAAAGAGATTTCATATACATAGTCCCCTTTTGGAACTTATATTTTGCATCAATTCAACTCTACTTTCTAGCGTAAGTTTCCAACTTTATACAGGTGATAACTTACTCTCGTTTCAGTCACAAAGTATTATCAATATTTTTATCTGGTAATAAAACAAATCTTATTAATACTATTACTCTTACAGAAATAGTGTAGGCACATAAAGACTTACCAATAACGAAACTATTGCAACTATTATAGCTGCTACCGCGTACCAGTAATCTATTATCCATTTTTTAAAACTGGCGATGCTTTCCTCGGAAAGAAGGAGCTTCCGGAGCGTTGCCAATGGTCCAGAGGGATCTACTTCTCGGCACATTTGGAAAACGTCGCAATAACCTTTGAATTAAAACAAGATTAATACAGTGCCATTTACAAAATATGGAGTAGATACCGATGTAATTGTTGCAAGGAGTTCCAGGTTTAGAGTACATATCTGGTATGTCATAGGGCATATCGTTCCATTGGAATGACGAGAGACAAGGTTGATTATCACCGGGGAGTTTACAGCACAACTCGCAGGCTTTCGTTTTCGGATCCGTCTTTAACGGAATGCATTGACACGACTCCAAACCATAAGCGAGGCAAATTGATCCGGTGCACTCCTAAAAATTAATCAAACCTCGAGTCTCCCCTAAATATTTAACCTAATTCTAAATAATTATAAACAAAAAACTCCCGGAACTAATATCTCGAATAACTCGCTAAGATAAATTTGTTTACGACCTACATGCTCGATTCGAAAGGAAACTTCGAGCGCACTTTACGGTAATAACAACAGCTTTACGGCAACTTACCCCCATGAAGCAGACGAACTCCTTGTTACAGATGGTTTTGTTTGGTTTATTGATCGATGGGGGACATTGCGGGTCCCTGCCATTGCAGAAGCTCTCATCCCTACATCCATTGTCATCTCTGCATTTGTCTCCGAATTTGACTTGGCAATTCGACGTGCAACACGGCCCCTGAACACGCACCGGAATAAATGGATTGAATAAGTAGATTACGGTGAGAGTGCGATAATGTCGGAAGTATTGTGTTTGTTTTCTACAGTGTTAGTGAACTGAGTTTTGTCGACGAAAGTGGTAATTAGTGATGATACAATAAATGTGGAATACATTCAGTGGGAATAAATTGGTAAATGGTGACGAATAGAAAATTACCTGGGAAGGACTGCAAGCGCTCCTTGGTGTTAGGCGACAGGGGGGTTCGTCGATGCTCGCGTATCTTCTCATCGGGAAACAGCACTGATCCCGGCAATCTTCCTCCCAACCGCAATCGCACTCCTCGCCCTCTTCCACCACTCCGTTTCCACAAATCGCTTCCTTCGGTTCTGCAACAACCACGTTTAGGATTTTAAGGATAAACTTTAGAGAAGCGGATTTACCTGTGAAGCAACCTTTGGTAGACCTCGCCTTAAAATTCAACACCGGGTTGATGCTTTTCAGGCTGCACGGCGAAAAACGATTATTGTTCTTCTTGTCTCCGGAAGTGGCTCTGGCAAACATTATGAAATTTCCGTCTTCTCCACCGGGGGAACATTGTTCCGGGTCGTGCTGAAGTGTAACAATAAATTTATTCGATACGAACAATTCAAAGGCAGTAAATCTAAATAAAAAATTGCACAACGGCTTCGTAACAAGAACTACAGCACCGGGTTTCCCTTTGACAAAACACTGCAGGAGAAATTAGCACTCTTGAATTTCAATATTCCAATTTTAAAGCGAGCGAGTCGCTCTGAAAGTAGAACATAAGAAAGGCCGTAATTTTATTTTGTTTCCATCAGAATTTAAACAAGTAACGACTGGATAGATAACGAGCTATTATTTTTCCACTTTTCCTTATTCGAGAGCACTTGTTTGGGATTTAAATAGAGTTAGGAATTGTAAAACGGAACGGAAATTTGCGAATAAATACTGAAAAGAAACTGAGACAATTAGGTAAATGTAGAAATTTGAGTTTATTTTACTATCGAAAATTCACTAACAAAGTGATTCTGTTGTTACTATTATTTGTCAATATATTCGAGACTGTTGCAATTTGTCTGCTTGAATTCTGTGTAAACTTGCATAATTACTCCCGAACAACTAGCATTAGTGTTCGGTGCAGTATTAATCGTTATCTAATGAAATATACTATTTAGGGTTATTAGTTAATAAACTTACCGGTGATCCGAAATTATGTCCAATTTCGTGCGCCAACGTAACATGGGACACTGCAGGCGGTACATGCTTCCCGTAATTTAATAAAGTAACTATGCCGGTGTTCAAAGACTTCATGCTACCTCTGTAATGCTGCAAAAACATAAAAAAATATATATGCACCTACACCTATCACAAAGTAATAAGATGCCTTACAAAGGGGTTATTGATTATAGCGGTTCGTTTGAGTTAAATGCACTTGCAGAGGAAACGCTCCACAAAAATAATCTAATAGCATTTTCCCGTCTCCGATATTGCATGTTATCTAAATAATTATAATAATAACCGAAGGCACCCCTAAAATAAATACACCCAACACCTCCGGGTATTACGAAATCGCGCTCATGCGAGCTCTATAAACGAACATAACGCTCCGCCATCGTGCATGTATAAGTTAATTAGGAGATAAATTTAGATTAGGTTTGAGTCGGCGCTGCGTTTTAGAGTCTGCTCTATCTCAGAGCCCAGATAATTGCCGTGTAATTATCTCGGTTTTGGTTCGAAATCTGCTGAATAAGATATCGATGAGCCGGTGCAGAGGATGTATTTACGCACGAGAACCCGGCATTGGACTAATGTTATCACACTTTGCGAATCACCCTGATGTGCGCCTCTGTGAAGTTAATGCTGTTAAAGTTTAACGTGTCAGCGAGCACAGTTGTAGGTTACCTACATGTACGGTACGATTCACATTGGAAAATATTGTCAATTCGTAAAACTTTTCTTTACGAAACTCCGCCCGTGATTAGCGTAAATAATCTACCGCTTATACTCTATACATATGTAGATTAATTGTATCTGGAGTAAAAGTGGAATTTAGTAAACAAAGTGTAGGTATTAAAAAAAAGAATATCTCATCAAATCCTAATCCTTAAACTTTATATGTCATGTGGGATTTAAAGGAACGGTACCTACAAAAAGTGTTCATCAGGAGGGTATACTCTAGTTAAAATATTAATATATTCCTCGAGAACTTTTTGTGCGGAACGCGGGTTAAAAATGGTATTTCGATGTAAACTCACCCCGTTTTTTTCGCAAACGCCGCCGGCATTCTTCAAATCTCCGGTCCAAGCCAGACCCAAAGTGCCCATTTCGAAGTCCCGATAGGTGAACATGTAAGCCAAGCAGAAAGCATCGTAATCCTCCTCTGTAAATATCCATAATACATATAATCTCTTCATTATAATTATAAATAAGGCTCACAATAATTTATCGAACAATGCTATTACAAAACGAAATCTCTTATACCTTATAATTATAATAATAAATGCTCTATATCTACCTAACTCCCCTAAATGAACCAACTAAATCTGAAAGAAGTAACTTTTCGTAAAATTTAATTGCAATATTCTTATATTGCCTGCGGATTTTGAACTACTCTACGTTTAAATTTCGCAGCATTCTGTGTAGTATGAAACAATGCTTGTATTGTTAGGTAACGCTTCGTGAATGGAAGTTAAGTATTTGCCTCTTAAACTTCAAAATGCACACAAATTCCTGGCGAATACCGAGGTTTGCAGGTTGAAAATGCTCCATAAACAAGGAGGCAAATCGTTTTTATACGAATTTAATCATCCAATTTGGTAAAGAACCTTTTAAAATGCAAAAAACCACGCGAATATAAAAGGAGTAATGAAAAAATTAAATTCAAAATGTTGGCAAGTATATACTTCAATTAAGTTAATCAAGTTGTAGTTTAATTCAAATAGAATAGGAAACTGTACATGAATTTTCATTTTCAAATTTAAAATAGATATTTCATGAATTGGAAAACCAATATTTTCACAAATTGTTTCAATAAATGCGTTAAAAACATCATCCAAACTCAATTGATCGAGTTCTTTGTGAGACCTCTATAAATCCACGAATTTCCATAAAACTCGCAGTTAAATTTGTTCGTGTTGCAGTGAAAACAAATAAAAAATCGTAATGCGAGGAACGACCCTTGCTCGCGGCTGGAATGCCTTTCGGAAATCGCAATTTGTAGCTAGGTGATTTTTTTCCTTGCACCCCGACAAAATGGCTAAATCAATTACGAGCGCGGATAATGTCTTTCCGCTTATCCCCTAACAGAATAAAATGGAAAATGCGGCGTTTTTTCGCTATCTAAACATTTATAGAGCTTTCCAGTTGCACACTTATACGGGGTGCGTCGGAATGCCGCCGCAAAAAATTCGACTGCCAATTTAAAAATCGACCATATAGTGGATACGGTCGAGAATACGCTGGCGTCCCGTCCCGTTTTAATTTATTATTTAGCCGAAACCGCTGTTGACCTGAAAGCGATAGCGGATCCAAAAAGCTCCCGGTCGTTCCCGCCATTTAATTGAAAAAGCTTCATTCGCACATCATAAATTTCGAAAGAAATTCCCTCCTCTACTTTCAAACAGAAACAATTTGAATCGTTTTGTTACAGAATTAAAATAAAAAAAATAGCGCTCTTGTTATTAAAGGGTTTCTCCTGTCGCACTGTACATATGTAAATATAAAAAAGTTAATTCACGTAGGAGACGAATTTTAAATATTATTCAGGTCTCATTTGAATTTACCTCGGCGGAAATTCGTCAGGGTGGAATTTGCGCAGTCGCAGTGGTTATTAGAAATTCAATTTTACGGTAATTTTCAGTTTTATAGTAAGCACAATCGTAAAACTTTATAAAGGGAATTTTTAGGTGGCGATAAAACATGCAAGACCACATTTGGCGTAAGCATATTATTATATGATGCAGAAGATTCATAATATGTAATTAAAATAAACCAACACTAGTGCCCGTTCATGTACATTTTATGATTACAATATTAATTTAAAATTGACTATAAAATGTCTTTATTAGTCGCAGCAAAAGAGGAATAATAAAAGGCACCTAAACACCGGAATGCTCTGTAACTTACGTTAAAAAATTACTGTATATATTAAACTAATAAAAAGTAACAACAAAACACGCAGCAGGTTAAACGATGCGTGTACGCAAAACTCTTCGAACGGAATTATAATCGTATTTGGAATACCGACGTTTGATTAAATTCTGTCGAAACGAATGTTAATTCAACTTGGCAAACGGGCCTGCATGTAGTACAAATTGAATTTTGTGTTATGTTAAGAGAAAATGCGACAGAAGTAGGTCGATAGGTCGAAATTGCTCTACATTGGAACCAGCGAATTTTCCAACAGAGATCAGACAATGGTGAATAATAAACTATAGCTAGTTTGTTAAACATCCCATCAGTATATTTATGTACACTAATGTATGAAGTGTTTACATTTATTGGCAATTTCGAGTGCATGTAATTAAAACTCGTGTCAATTTAATACCAAATTAACCCAACATTTTGTACCTACTAACTAACCTACATGATGCGCAAAATAATAAACACCTGACACGTTTAAATTATGAAAAAATATACTATTAATTCTTGCTGAATAAATCTGGGGTGTTTAAATATATTATACCTAACTCTCAAAATAATAAATGCGGCAGAATCGGCCGGTGGGCTAACTGATGCCTGTGACAGTTCACCCTCTACATCTCATGAAATATTAGAATCTGAATGAGCCAGCAGGAGGAGGTGTGTCGGGCTATAACTCCAAGAGAAGGGATGCGATTTATCGCAAATGGGACATATATGTACATCAATCACATAAATTAGAAGAACAACCACATTCAATTTCATCCAATAATAAAATAGCTAGGAGGTTCCTCTGTGGATGCAGAAAAATTAATTCGCAAGAAATATAATAGGTATTCAGTAATTAGCAAAATGCATTTGCAGAAAATTAAATATGAAAACTGTAAATATTTCGACGTGATATTCAAACAGTTAGCTATTTTCTTTAGCTACCAGCAATTAAGCAATCCGCTTGTAAAACTTGTATTTGAAAAAAAAAGAACTAACACGATGTTTGAGATGGTATCTTTTTTGGACCACTAGAAGCCGATTCTAATGATAAGAAGCGAAGAAATCGATATTACCACTCGAATGAACGAAGTGTTTGAGTTCGAGCCCACCGAGAAAAAAAATAAACCCTCAGTAAACATTTTCATTCCCTTTGGAGAATTCCGAATGACGTTTCAATTTGCTTTATGAGGGTGCGGCGTATGCGAGCTTACTTGCTCCGAAATCGCCACTCTTTGAATACTAAATCTACTATGAAAAAGAAAAAATGAAAAACGAAACACCAACGTAACGCATAATGAATATATTTATTTCGTTTCAGCAGCTTGGTATATGCTTTTTGGTTTGCATGGTGCAATTGCAAAATCTATTCAATATGCACCAGACGCGTTATTTATAAACTTTGTGATAGATAATCCGTTTTTGGTATCTTAGTATACGTAATTATAATACGTTTATATTTTCCTGAGGAATTCTGAACAATTTAACTTTGTTAAGGCGATTAAAATTTAGTAATAATGACAAAAATTTGGGGAATTTTCCGCGATAATACAATCCAATCAGTCTCCGCTTTTTAAAATATGCAAAAGACGCTGAATAATAAATAAGTTTATTCCAGTTTGAGGGTAAGCCCAACGAGTTTCTTGATCTGATTTAAGCGTAAATTATTGATTTCAATCGGTGATTTTATTTACACCGTACATCCAGATGTAGATAAAATTTTACTGGCGATTTAATGTGGTGAAATTTACCGGAAAATTTTTCAATTTCGAAAGAACAAAATTACTATCCAATTTAGCCAAATGAAATAAGTGCTATTGTACGATAATTAAATTATCACAGATCCAAAACGGCCGTGTAATTGCACTCAAACACTCGATTTGGGAGCATATTAGGTTCATTTTCGATCGCAAAATTTAGGAAACGCTTTGAGCCCCCCCTTAATTAACAACGAAACATGTGTCACATTTCACACCCGACTTTCGACGCAAATTGTAGGGAGGGAGATAGAAGCGGCAAGTAAATCATTTTCTACGATTATAATTTACCGCCGGGCGCGATTTTCAACGATAAAATTTAACGACCAAACCGCATAATCGAATTCACACAGCTTAATGAGCATCTATATTAAGTGCCTACCCCATATACCTCCGGGGTGGTTCAACATGCTTAGAATTTCCGTTGAACATATGATCGAATTCAAGTTATTGTTTAGTTCATATTACTGTTGTTAAATTGTAAAGTGTTTTCTGTTTTATTGATTTATAAGTAATTCAAATTGTATAGTTTTAAAGTAAACCGATCGATAGTAATTACTGTTGTGTTGAACTTGTTTTTAACGTGAATTCATGTAAAAATGATGCGGTTTTCTGTTATTCATATAAAATAAGGTCTTCCTGTACGAACGTTCAATTACTACACGATTATTCGATTATAATTCAACGATTTAACAATTATGGTCATTTCGTACTAAAGCTTAAGAGCATCCACATGTCGTTTATATTGCTCCTTTTATCATTGGTATGTACACATAATTTGATTGTACTACCAATATTAAGATTTAATTTCCATTTTCACTACTCTCGTTTGCAAATTTATTGATGATAGTGCATTCACCATTCACAGTACAACTTGGAAATTTTACATTATGGATAAAATGCCAATTTTTATCATTTTTTTGTAGTTTTCTGCAATGCAGATTGCAGCAACAAACGATAGGCCTCTTTCTTTGTGCATAAATAGTCAACAGTCTCTGAAGCAAAACATTCACAACGTTTACTTGATAAGTGAGCAGAAAGTTGTAACGTTATTAAAGGTGTGCTTGGACATGTTGAGGAACCCTTTGCTGGAAACGGATATGTTAAGAATTATTATCCTTAAGGTAAATATTTTAGAACACATGAAATTGTTGAGAGAATGAATGATTACTAGAATTTTCAGATTAAACCGTTTTTGAAATATGATAATTCAACCTTGCAATTAGAAGGAATCATAGGAGACATTTGGAACGTGTTAGTGGAGATGAATGATTTAAAGTTAGTGTTAAATTAAGTGAGATGGACAAAAAAAATGTAGCCGATATTAAGTAGCAAATATTTACAAAAGATAACTTATTTTAGATACAATATAACAGTGGGTCCCTCATTCGGTAATATAATGCGAACAATGCAGAAAGGTAAAATAGACGTATACGTTGGACCCGCAGCTGCAGATACATACAGAAGTAATCTCGAATATTTTCAACCATATATAAAAACGTGGTAATTAAAAAACCTATTATCAAACGATATTTTTTAAGAGTAGAATAGAAACAAAAAGAAATTTTGAAGACGTAAAGAAGCTAATACGAAATTAATTTTTCTATTACCATTCGGATTGCACAAGCAAACAATTTTCGTTTTTTGTCCCGTTAATAATACGAAACATGCAATCCGCCGATGGAAATTATTCGGAACAAAAATCCAATTCTAATGCCGTTTAATTATCAAAGTTGCTTCAAGTTCGCGAAACTTCCATGCGTACTGAATTTAATGACTCTTAAGTCTTTAAAACTTATGCGAACAGTATCTAATGTAACTTTGAAAACGTAGTTTAATTTTAATAGTTTATCGGAGGAAAAACAGATTTTCTCTGCTACATTGTTCTTATGTGAAATGGATCATGAGCACATTGTACGTCCAACAGTACCTATTAAAAGTTTTAGTTACTTTTTGGATGTGCGACAGAAAGAAAAAGTTTGTTAATAAATAAAAAGACCTATTCAGGAGGTGACATCTTGAGTGAGCCGTAAATTTTTTACTTTTTAGGAACAACCTTTATATAAAATTGCCGGATTTAAAAATAAACCCCACGTATTACATTAAGCCGTTTTCTTTCAATTTATGGATTCTTACGTGGATTTCCTTTTTATTTTTGAGCGCATTCATTTATATGGCAGGAAGGACTCTAAGAAAAATCAACCCTTCGGAACCTTTAGTATCGTTACCTATTTGTTTTTTGGGAACAATTTCTGGATTTATAAACCAAGGTAAGATGTTACATAATATACAATTTCAAATTTAATATTTCATCGAATTTAATTACTTTTTTGCACGTTTTAAATTTAAAATTATCAACAGCTATACCTACAAAAGTTTCAATATTCAATTTGTACAGAGTCGAAAAACAGGAAAATATTTGCTCAATTGTTTAGTCGACAAAAATCAATTAAGTTGATCTCGTGTACACGCGATAGTTTAATAATTTCATTCATGAAAGGTAAATAAGATTATTCAAGTCTAGTCGAAATATGGCAGTTCCGGAATATTAAGGAAATAAGATTGCATGTACTTAAGACTTACAAGACGAATAATTCCCTTGGAACATTGCGGCAAAGTAACCGCAAAGCGGGGGCCGTAGGAATACGAAACTTGATTAATTGAAGTTGCTTCCCACACAAGATGAATATACGAATGTAATGCAATATGTAGCAGTTATATCACCGAAATTATTAAGGGTATCAAAACTTTCGAGATCGGTATTAATAATTAGATTCGAAGTAAACAATGTGCAAACAATAGTTAAGTATTACTAATTAATTATTATCTCATACGTAGCTACTTCGAAACTAGTAAATTTCTATATATAGCAAAGCATTAATTTCCCTGATATGTAGCTTCATTATTCGAAAAGTGCTTGTAAAAAATTACCGCGCACTAATTAGCCACGTAAAATACCTATGTACATAGAAACTGTCACATTTTTCAACTAAATTAATGTTGTCTTAAGGAGTTTCCTCTTCCGAAGGAGTTCCTTAATAAATGTGTGAGTAAGAGCGTATGAAAATTATACGTTTATAAACTTCAGCTGCACATCCTAATAATATACGACAACATCCACCTTCTAATTAAATTTCTTAAGTTCACAAGTTTGCGTATCACACACAAAATGTTATCAATGTGAACAATTAGAGCTCCATGGGGAATCGTGCAATTGACCCGTTAGAATTCTAATTAACTGCCTAAATTCTATAGCTTTTCCGCTAAATGCTTTAGGTTGCGAACTGAAATTCAGCAGCTATTCAGTCCGTATATTGATATACATATCCCTGATATTGGGCCTACTGTTATACGTCGCTATGAACGCTTTGCTCTATTCTCAAATGACGGTCTTCCGGATCACCACGCCAGTTGAGACCTTAACGGATGTAATGAAGCAAACGAAACTGACACTTTGCATCAGAAACATGACTTATGTCTACGGAACCTATATTGTAGTAAGTTAATATTTAATCGAATACTTCTTCTATATTCTTTAACTATTTACCGATTATACTCTTAGTAGATTACTAGTCACCATCGTTTCTTTAAAAACTTGTTAAATGTTCAAAACTGATTACGTGCATTTTCACAGGATAAAAATGATGTGATTAAACCGGAGTGGAAACAAATAGTCAACAGAGGACCATGCAAAGTATACAACAAAGCATCAGAGGAAGCTGAAGATATAGCGAATGTAATATGCAGGGATGATGTAGTCATCATGGAGAACATTATCGTAATGTCGTCGTTTCTAAAAAAACACAGACCCGCCTGCAATGTGATTAAATTGAGGAAGAACTATTTCAGCACCTCGAACACCTTTTTTGCCTTGAAATATTTGAAGCAATCCGAATCTATCAAGAGAAGGTTAGATATGTTATGCTCTAATCTCGAAAAATTGATAATTGTAATTTTAGTATTATAAAATTAAAAAGTTCGGGAGTAATGAGTCGAATCATAAACAAATATTTGGAACGAACAGACTATGAAAATATCATTCCCAAAAAATGGTATCCAATCACTATAAACCACGTAGGAGGTATTTTGGGATGGTATTTTCTGATGATTGTACTTAGTTTGTTTATATTGTTTATTGAAATAATTTGCAAGAAAAGGAGTGCTAGAATTAGGTCTATCCACGAATAATTTAATGGTAGGTAAATGTTCAGCTACATTAGACTTAGTATCTATTTTATTCCAAAATTCATCTTTTTGTTTTAGCATTAGTTCAACAGACTCGTTTACATTAGAAAAGTTAGTGCACTCACCTGAAAAAAGTTCCAGAAACTTTTCCACTCCGTAGTTATTGGGAAACCTGTAGAGTGGATCCTTCAAGGCGTCTAATGTATGAACTTTGATCCTCTTCACCATGAACGTAATATTGTCGTTCTTGCCGTCTTGGTTGAAGTCTGCAAGATATACAAAGTTTTAAACATATTCATAATTGCACCGGAATTGTAACACATTCGTCACTGACATTGACTAGATTGAGATAAAAATATCACTACGTAAATAAAACTTGTTAAAAATGCTTGCGGGAAACTGAATACGTAAAATTTTCAGTGTAATTTATGCGCTGCGATAACGAAATTCTCCTACATGAAATCCCCGCTTCAAATTGAGCGACACCTTTTAATTTAAATCCAACGATAAAATCCCTAGTTTAATCCGTTTTTCAACAAGGAAGTTTTCCGAGCTAGAGCTTAATGAAGGAATTCAGTTAATTTGTTCGCTCGTCTTTCCTCCTCCGCTGCTTGGATACTGAAATAGTGCAATTTTTCCTTTAGCAATTTTGTATTTCATTATAACTCGCAGTAAGAGAAACTTGCATATCGAATAAATACCTAAATATTTGCAATCAAGTAAATAAATAAAATCGACGGATGAAAAAAATGCAACATCGTTTGCCAGCTTCGTTGAACGAATCTCTGCAGCTTCGAGCTGAAAGCGTAACCGTGTAGTCGCAAATTTGCAATCAGGGGGGACAATTGTTTCATCCTATGTCAATAAAATTCCGTTTTTATCTCACGCCAGACGCCTTTCCGGAGGAAATTTAGAACTGGGCTATTTGATTGCGTCGAGAGAGAAAATTACTAGAACATTTTCGAAGAGAAATGTTTATTTATTTAACAGCTCGGAATTAAATTACCTACTTCATCCCGAGAAAAATTTAAATACATAGTATTAAATATCCGAATTGGGCCTACCCCATTCAAAAATCTAATTTAATGGTACGCGAACGTAAACGATCCCTTTTACCTCTCCCGACGCCTTTTTATTTCGAGCGGAATAAAAAGTTCCTGTGAAGTTCGAGAGCGTTTCCGTTCCTTGTTTCGAGCCGTTTCGCGTTAGGCGTTCGCTTTAAAGTCGCTTAATTAAGCTGCACACTCGAAACGGTACGTAGCAAATACCCTTTATGCCGTGTCAAGAAGACTCATGTTTGATCACGTAATACACTCAATTTCACTCGATTGTACCTGTGTTCCTGTAGATGGCGTTCACCCGCTGAACGTGCCTCGTCATGACTTCGATGCAGGCTTCCTCGGTGCCGTATTTGTTGAAGAACTGGTGGTCGGCCTGCAAGTACAGCATGCAAGTGGTCTTCTTCGGATCGACGGTGGCTCGTTTGTTAACGTTGCGGTAGAGAGAATTGGCCGAGCTGTTCGACAGCATCTCCAGCTCTTCGTCTATGGGCTGGTTCAAGTCGAAGATCTGCGTGAAAGGTCTCCGCGTCGTGCTGTTGTTGCTGGGAGGTGAGAAATACGTGGGAGTGTCGTCGTAACTCGGCGGTAACTTGGCTTCGGCTTCCAGCAGCCAGCGCTTTTTCCGGTGGTTTTGGTTTTTGTGAAGGGTGGTGTGCTGGTGGAGGCGATGCGATGCACACGGTTGACCTGAAATAAACAATTATTACATTTACTTATGCCTTAATTACCTAATTACTTCCGACAATCTGTATTCCTTTTTACTATTACCAAAAACGCTTATAAGGAATAAAAAATGAAAGACAATATAACGACGAATTTTATTCGGAATTGATTCACCTCTATCTGTGTATACGTAGCACATTTCAATTCGATACTTGGGAAGCAGGCCATCCGAAAAAGTAGAGCAATATACTTCCTAATACACCCAATAAGGGCCTTTTACGTTCGTCTCGTCATCGAAGTCCCGGCGGTCGGAGAGAGAGCTTTTTCCCCGGACGTGCTCGCCTCGTTCGAACTGAGTTATCATTTAAACGAAAAACCTGAAGACGCAAAAAGAATCCTGGATTTTTTGTCCGTTTTCAACCCTTTTAGTTAGATCTTAGCGCCCGGAGCGTCGCTATTCATCAGGCGGGTATCGGAGCCGTCTTCCAGAGGCGGCGCCAATCGAATTTGATACTTGCTCGTTACCGAAAAATAATTTTCCTTGCAATTTAATCCTCGTGCGCCTAGATTTAAACTAACCGACTGCATGAATATGTGACAGACTTAGAAGCATTTCCGCTCCGTCGCGCGGATTTCTTTACATTTACTCCGAAGTAGAATTTTAATTGGAAATATAAGCCGGGCTGCCATGTGATTGGAAATGAAAACTTGGAAATTGATCGTTATAATAATTGAAATTGTTAATGGCGGATTGTGCACCGCGGAAATTGATTTCAAATGCAGCATCCGTCGACCGAGGAGCAGAAATAATTCTCCTTCGGGGAAAAGAGAATTAATAGGGGACTATAATTACGGAACAAATAAATTTATCCAATTCCTTCGCATTATTAGATATAATCGATATGTTTTCAATTATTTCGTGATTGTTAATTAACTGTATCATTAAAGACAATAATTGTTTGCTTAGCTTACCTTTAAGAGGATCAATAACATCTGTTGTCCTATATACTATGGAATGAAAATTAGGTTCCTTCATTATTCCTGCAGTAAAATATCTACTGACAGGTTCAATATTAAAATCTTCGAGGGCAGTGGAGATTGTTCCTTCGAAGAGACCCTCTTTAGTGACTAGCCCGTGCACTACAGCTTCATCGTCATCTGAAAAATTAATGCACAATTAATTTGCCATCAAATACCGTGCATGTAGTTATTAAAAAAGAATAATAATTAATAGCAGTCGTTTAGAAGCAGGAACCATCCATCTGTATCAATTCGAAACAATTTAAGACTATTAAAGCCGCGTGGCGCCGAAGAGGATTTCAAAGACCCGAGTTTTCCAGATCGATCAATCGGCATTAGAGCCGGCATGGTAGCAGCAGATAGGGACTATCCCGGCCGCTGATTAGGCCGGCCATTGTATACAAGTAGAACAGGCCGAACAACACCTTTGAACACTTTCCAATCGATGTTCGGTCGGTCGTTTAATCAGCGGATTGCCGGTCGGCATCGATAGCATTACCAACACTAATCTGGTTAAGTTCGACCGTGTTTGTTTTGTAGTGGAGTTTAGAGTAATTAAAGGAGTTTTATTGTTCTATTATTGTAGTTAATAAAAATTTTCAGAAAAATATATCGTTTATTCAGTAACTTCAAATATCCATGTATGACACTATGTATAAGTATTTGGTATACATAGATAACTAATATTCGGATTGTATGTAATTAAATCTGGTTAATTGCACGCCGGAGTTTGTGTATACATAATTAACTGTAATTTGCAAATCCATTAGACAATTTGATCGCAACAACCTTTGAATATATGTATATATACTGATGTCGTTTACCCTTGTTGAGCAATTACTGGCATTATGACAGATCTATCAGGTTTCCTCTGGAGTTGATTATGAATTCGCAATTTAAGCTTGATTAGGCGCAATTAAAGTAAATGCGTTTAGGATGGATTATTAATGCACAGATAAATTTATCTGTTACCTATTCACTAATATAACACGTTTGCAGCTAAAGTCAATTTCTATTGATCAATGTTAATTTATATTAATATCAAAGAAACGCAACACTTGAAAAACGTGATTAGATATCCTGTAAATTATAATATTAATTATACTCCCTTGCATCAGTTTATACAAGGACCTTAATTTGTTTATTTATATGCACATATCAAATGTGGCCATTTGAGCCACAGTCCTTTACAATACGTTAATATTTAACCAGAATTTCGTCCAGAAACGTTACCCAACGTCGTTTTTTCCCTTTTTCCTCAAAGTCAAGTCATTATTCTTGTTACCTGCATACTGGCAAGCCGGCCTTTATTACCCTAATTAGTAAATCCATTAGATAATTCAACCGGGGCATTGGTCCCTTTTCCGAACGATTATTAAATCCTGGTATACATCACGGCGACGCGAATCAAGAACTACCCAGTCAATAAATTATTCCCGCCACATTAATCACCGTCGAAGGGATGTCGATCGATGATCGCGGTCGAATAATTATAGGCGGAAATCCGGGAACATGTTTCCGAAACTCGATTCGAGTGAAAGTTCGACCGGTAATTAGGACGAATTACTTTTAGGTCGTTTTGTCATTTCATTCGAATCTGATTTTTACTAACTTTATTATTGAATAGATTGAAGCGCCGGGTTAAAGGATCGTCGATTTTGTTTCTTCACGTCGACGACACGCAATATTGCCAACCAAATGAAGTTTGAGACTCATTTCGATTTATCTGGCGTAAAGTCTAGCAAATAATTGACAGCCGGGGGGAATTGGATTAATTTCAATTCGGAGCGGATCCGCCACGATTGATGGAAATTATTAGAAAATTGGAAAAAAGCGGAGCAAAGGAAAAACGGAAAAATATTCAAACAAATACGGCGGGTTAAAAAATTTTATAAATCGAAATTAAATGGGAAAACATTTGATTCAGCTTTCAATGAAAATTTTTCTTTCGAACTTTGGGTATTATATTTTGCAAATTGTCAATAAAACGTATTTGTCGTTTGTGACGTTAACATTTTTGTCAAGTGTTATGTTTAAACATAAAACTCCATGAAAAATTCTGCCGATTCAATGTAATATTTAATTTGGCAGCTTTTAATTTAGCGATTGCATTATAAGGCAACATGCGCTCGTGGTTTAATCAAAATAGGTAAAAACCATAACGTTAGAAAACACAATCTTATTATCCTTTTATATTTCGTTTAATAGTATAAATGTAAATAGTATAAACGAAGCATTAGTATTTTAAATAGTAGTGTATTACATTTTTATCTCGTCTCGGAAAATAATAAAGCCGTTTGTTTTCGAACAAAATTTTATCTACCAACCAGAAGATCCTTTATTCATTGTTAGAAGTGAGATATACGGCTCAAATGGAAATAAAACGCATCCGTTAGAGCGGGTTATTAGTTTTCTATACGTGTCATACTGTACAATGTACTATTGTGAACAATAATACAATAACACGTAGGTATACCATATAACATGCCTACCAGAATATTTCTTCGAACGGATATAATATGTACGAATATATGAAATGAAGTGAATAATAATATGCCATATTAATGTTATATGCTGTACGGAAATAAAGATAATTCAAAAATACGGAAAAATGTCGATTAATAAATTAAGAGATAATTCCATAAGTATGCAATTTATTTCAATTTAATTCAATTATTTCAATTTGCCATTTATTTCAATGCCAACATGCCGTTGGCTCAAATCGGTCACTCATCATCAAAAGGGGAAATTTGCATGCGCAACAACTAAACAAAATCAATACGAATATTTTACGCAAGTTTGAACCTATAAGTAGTTGTTATAGATCGGTCTCTGTTTATCAAAATATTATTCACGATTTAAAATGGAATAAACTTTTTAAATGTTTTACGCCAACTTTATTCCATTAATAAATTACCCACACAAATTTATATAATTTCACAGACGATAACACAAATAGATTACGTGCAGCTGATAAAAATAATTTGTGATATATTTGAGAGTAAAAATAATCTTATATTGTTTGTTTCTTCATAAGAGGTTCCCTTTGATCCAGAAACAAATAACCGCAACACACACACACACATGTTCCTTTTTGTAACTAATACAACGAATGTTGCCCTGATAAGGGTAGAAACCCAATAATATCGGCCGTAAAACGAAAGATAGCAGGAGGAAGCGGCGGCCACGTAGAAGTTTTAGTGCGAATATCGTCTTTTACGATGCAGGAATTATATTTTATCTTCCTCGCCGAAATTGCAATTTTTATTGATTAACATTTCTCGGTGATAATGCATGGACACGAAAAAAATATTCAAAAAAATCGAACAAATAAATAAGTTTTTCCATACAAAGTAGTTATTTTGATCCACTTCTATATCAATAACCTCTTCGCGCTACTATACCCAATAAAGGCCTACACAAAAGCACGACGGTCCTCAATTCCTTCAGAAGGAATTGAGTCTTTAGAGAAATTCGGAGACCCTTTTTCGGAAAGAGATTCGCCGGATGGGATTTATCAGATTCCCTTATAGGTAAGTTGTTATTTCGAAATTCAAATGAGGATATTAGAGTTTAGAGTTCTCTATTCGCGTTCGCCGGTGCCGGTGGAGTAATCAGTTAAGTGTGCGGAGTTGAATGGAATCCAATTATTTTTTCCCTTAGGTTCTATCCGGTGCAGATGTCTGTTATGTTTTCAATCTAAATGGTTTATTCCGGTAAAAATTTCCACATACCTACCAACTCGTACAATAATAGGTACTTTGTTATTTTTGAATTGCCATACCTATTTGAATTTAAACTTAAAATCCCGTTAAAAAATTAATACCGCAAAAATTGCAATATATCAAAAATGCCGCCTGCACGCAAAACTATTTTTCCACCGTCCGATACGAACAATTCCAAAATCCCGGAAATGCAAATGGCCTTTTAGGGTTATAAATTGATTGCATATTTAATGAGGGCTTGGGAGTTCCGCTGCCTCGGAAAAATTTCCCAATTAAAATCGTTTGCCTCTACTACTAAATATCAATTTGCAATCGTGAAAATCGCTCGTCCTAATAACTACAAAAACAGGTAGATTTTTAAAACAAACTCGTTAATTGGATAAACTAATATTCCTCGATCGAAAAATGTCGATTATCGGATGCGACGAATGGAAAACTACCGGTTCCATCCTAATATAAAAATTTCACCCAATGCAATTGATCTCCGAAATGTAAAGATTCACATATATCAGAAGTTTCTGCACGTACCGACAAATAAATCATTCTGACGAATCGGCTGTTACCAGAACTAATAATTCCGGGAAAATTGCTTTTTCCACCGACACAACAATTAATGGCAACAGTTAACTGCTTAGAAAAATATCGAAAAACGCCGGCACGATACGAGTTCACGATATTACGTAGCTACATGGGAAACATTTACATGTTTTCCAGTTTTGCATTTAATAAAAACTTTCGATAAAGTACAACTTCCTGGTATTCAACAGCATGTTTTAATTTTCATAATATTTTCTTTGGTGACTTACGTGAAGATAAACGACAAAACCGCACGAAGAAAAATTTATTTTCCGCTTTTTGTTTTTTGCGCGATGAAACCTGCAACGACGTTATTGCGACGGGCAGACGTCCTAGCAGGAATCTATATAAATTCCCGTTCGGCGCGGAATTTATGCAAGAAATTGAGGGTTTTATTATTTCGTCTGGCTTTCATTCGTATACCTGACGTAATAAAATACCTTTCTGCAAATTGCATCTAGCAAGTATTGTCACATTACATGCACAAAATGGTGAATTTGTTTCAGGACTGGTTGACACAATGTTGATGATTTCTCTGAAACTTCATTTATAAATAAATTGTATGTGTGTCTGATAAAAGCAAACTTTTAATATGCAAGGATTATAACCCAAATGGTCTGGTACATTTTTTTCTTATTCACATTCATTCATAGGAAACACCTTATTGTTAGCAAGCTTTTTTGAAACTGAACTTTGATCGTGATTAAAATCGCGAGTCTCTTTTTAGTGGAATTCTACAATTTCAGCTATTGTTATTATCACAATAAAATATCGTCCATGAAATTTTAGATGAAGAAAACGCAGGCTTACTTTTATTGTATTGTGATAAAACAATAA